ATATATATAAATATATATATATGAGACACAGCAAGATCAAGTCTGCTGTTGGTTTACCCTCAGAGTACAATGAGACGGTGGATCTACATGAGTTGGATGCTGGCAGATGGTACCTGAATGTTATTGAATGTACAACACATGCTTCTGCACTGGAAACATTTTGAGGACCAAAAAAAACAATCCTCTATAACTTGTTCATTTACTAGTGGATAAGTGTCGGCGGTGCCCCCAAACAGAACAGGCAATGTTAGAGAGGTCAACAATAATTAAGTTTGAAGCATGGCTGATACCGTCTGAGATCCTCCTGAAGGTAAAAAAGAAAAATAGGTGTGGCTGGCAAAGGGTTCTGAACTGGGGTCTTATGGGCGAAAACAGTACAGAATCAGCTAACATGTAGCAGTATGGTATGGCTCTTACTGGCAATAAATAAACTTTGCATAATGGTGAGAAACAATTACTCACCTTTTAGTGCACAGACCTCACAGACCTTAATTTAGTAAATGTAGGGGCACACACTGGTTAAACCAGTGTAAGCTGAAGTTTTAGTTGGCACATGCATATATGACAGTTGAATAAACGTTGCACCACATGTTTCACCACAGTGTGGTGTTTCTCTCTCTAGGATCCCAACTATGTCTCAAACCATTTTCTTCTCTGTGTGTTTTCTCTATTATTCCTGTTAATACATATTGTGGCTGCATATAAATAAGCTCTGTACATTTTTATTTTTATTTTATTTTTTTACAGAAATCTAAATGCGATACCTCTCCCTCCACAAAGATGGAGATGAGATTTTACAGCAGCTACGAGGAAATAATCATGAGGCCAGCTTGCCCAGGCAGCACTGGTTCAGTGTCGTTTTGGTGGGCAGGGAGTGCTGGGCTGAAATGGCAGGAAACCACATAATGATAGAGTGAATTGTATTTATGTCCTCACAAGAGTGGTGAGGCCAGTGGGTGCACAGACTAGTAACAGCCTGATTGCTAGTCTCTTCTAAAATTCCACTGATTTATAAGTCCTGTTAATATCAAAATATTTAGTTAGACTGAACAGTTGTTCTTTTTGGAAGTTGTGGTTGTTTGCATGGTTGTGTCTATCGGGAGGCAATTTGTTCCACAAATCTATCATTATAATTTGACCATCAGGTCAGTAAATTCCTCAATCACAAACCCTGAATCACCAGTAACCTAAAAGAACTCCCTCACGAAAAAGAGTCTTCAGGGAGGAAGACAGCAAATTCCTGATGAATGAATGAAGACTGGAAACAATAATGAGATATACAGGAAGAAGGTAGACAGCAAACTCTAGCAAAGCAATGATAGACGTGCAATGAAAAGGACCTCAGTCCTCAAGCAGAAGAAGGAACCGGTTGATGACAGCTTGGACAAAACCAATAAACCGAACACATTCTTCAGTTGGTTCAGGTAAGGATTGTCAAGATTCTCTCATTATTTTTAAATTCAAAAATAAGACACCTCCAGTCAGATGTATTGTTATACATTCTGGAAAGAAGAGTTGTGTGTTTTTAGGGTGCATTCACATCAGCTCTGTTTAATCTGCTTTAATCAAGCTCTGGATAATTTGCTTAGAAAGTCCAGTTGCTTTGTGAGATGTGAATGCGTAACTGAATTCTGGTGCAGACCAAAGCAGCAAACTCTGGTCCGTCTCTACAAACCTGGGTCTCAGTTCAATTGAAGTGAACTCTGGTGCCATTTCAAAGGCATATGTGTATGTCAAGCTGTACGGGGCTTCTGGGTAAATACAAAAAAAAAATGTGTCTAGTGATAGAGAAATGGCTCCTGGTCTTTTGCCAAAGACAAAAGAGAAACCATTCAACTGCAGACAACCTTCAGTATCAGTCTTAGAGATTTCTCCAACATCAACCAAAACTTTTCAAACAATCATGATTTGTTCTGCATTTGTTGAACTCAATTTGTTTCTGTGGTATTTTCACACTACAATTTGCAAGAAGCTGGATGCTCCAGACCTGCAGAGGTTTCACTTTTTCACAAACCTGTTGGAGGTTTTTTTGAACATGAGGACTGATCTCACATTGATTAGAAACAAAACCTTAGCTGCATGTATCTGCTGAGCTCCGCATGTGATCCCTTCTGAGCTCTCTAGTTAAACACGCATCTCTAGACGTGTTTCATACGGCCTCCCTCGTTCCATCCTTACCTACGCAGGTGCTTTGGCTGCCATCCAAGTGGAATCCCTCATCACAGTGGCAGATGTAGCTCTCAGCTGTGTTGTAACAAACCCCCTGCCCGCATATGGAAGGGTTGATCTGGCACTCATCCACCTCTGAGAAAAACAGGAATGGAAGAAACAACATACTGCAATTTACTGTTATAAAGAAATACCAGAGGTATATAGTTGGCCTAACATTTGCATAACGTTTGACAATATTTGTCTTTTAAATGTTGCACAGTGATATTGTGAAACAGGAAAGCAGGAAACTGACCAGCTAACTGAGTGGGTGCGATGTCCTGACCCGCATTGAATGGGAGAATCTCCACCGGAGCAGGTGGAGACGTCTTCTCAACAACTTCTATCAAATAAAAAAACAAAAACAAACAAAGAAACACCACCATAGACATTTTTAAACGATACAACATATATAGAGACAGGCATTATTGGAAAATATCTAGTTCAGCGTGCAGGGCTTCCTTTACTGCGCACAAGCACAGATAGGTAAGCATGACCAGAATGCCACATCTTAACATGAAATCAAAGGTACAGAGGGTAACATAGCTTCAGCTGCATAATCCAAGGCCAAATAAGACAGAAATAGCCTTCAAACCCCATTACCCACAACAACAATCACAGCATTTTAAAGAGATTGCGTTGAAATATTTTTGATAAATTGAGCCATCCTTTATGGAAATACTTAAATAAAGGATTCTAGCATCTCCTTGAAGATCAAGATCAAGTAACAATATCATTAAAGACTTTTCAAATACATTTTAGCCAGTGAAGTTACAATTTATCTGCTGAGTAAACAGAATAAAGCAATCCCAGCTGCTCAGGGTTGTTGATCATTCACGATTTCAGGTTTAAATGCAGCAGGTGTGATGTTAAAAAAAAAACTTAAAAGGATGACAAAAGCCCTGCATGTCATCTGAAAACTAAGACTTTGCAAGACACCACTGTAAGTATATTCACATGTTGATGGGGAAAAGTTCCACGTTTAGACAAGATCGCCAAGCCACCTAGACTCTGCTGTAGTTGCCATGCCAGGGCACTAGATGGCACTGTGAGCTTAGCATGCGACTGTAACTCTTCACCTCACTGGTCTGTGAAGTATCTGGATCAATCGCAAAGTACGTCTCCATTTACGATGAACCAACTTCTCATGAAACACATACATATTTCACATCAGAATATGTGTCAAACTGAACAGGTTGCGCAGCACAGTACAATGCTATCCGCCATTTTTTTTACTATGTGCCCGAGCATGTGTAGAGCAAACCCTGCAGCCATGAATTCGGTGCATGTGCATTCATACATCCGCATGGAGTGTTTCAGAGAAGTTATGTGCCAGAGACTCCGATCACTGGCGACGTGTAAACAACAAACGGCAAAAATGTTACGGTTTCACTGAAAAAAAAAACAGCTCAGTGTAAACGGGGCCTAAAAGCCCCCTGGCAAGGAAAAATTTCCCCCTACCCCGTGATTGAGTTGCAACCAACCACCAGAGAAAAACACACTATGGCACTGTAAAGGTTTACAGCATCGATAAAACCCTATCGGCTATGATTTTCATGCTAATAACTTTCATAATACTAACTATTCAGTGGATGAGCTCCTCATCTTGCCTTTTCTGACTGCGACTTACAACAGAACCAGCAGAACATTAAAGTTTGCAGGATTTTGGTTCACTTTGGGATAAGATGTTGCAAAGTTTTCTCTTTTCATCCGAGTTGCCAAACTTGGCTCATAACCAGGGCTGGAACAGCTGAAGCTAATCTCCTTCTCTTAGCCAGGTTTCACCCCCCACCAGCCCGACCTGCAGGCTGCTGGGCCAAGCCGTGTGTGAACTGAGCCCACACTGAGCTAAAGCAGTTTAATCTTTCCCCTAATGAAACATGAGGGATGTTTCTGTTAGGATTCATCTTCCTACGCTCATGCCAGAGAACTCCCAAATTAGACTTTCTAATGCTACATTGGAGTTGCAATTTGCCAAAGTGAGTATTTAACCCACAGTACTATATTTTTAAGAGTAACAAACAGAAAGCACTAAACAAGACAGAATAGGTCTTGTAGCACCCATCCTGTAGCATCTTTATCTATACAAAAAATGCAGAAATCATCTTTTTCCATTTTGCATGAGGCAGATCTCTGTATGACACTAGGTCCAACACCAGGTCTAGTATTAGACCTAGAAATCAAAAAGCTTGTCTTGGTTATGTGAGGATTTATTTTGCTTCTTAGAGAAACTGCAGTAATATCAATGTGAATTAAAGGACTTGAGCGCTACAATATGAGAGAATGGGGTAAATATGATTACATATTTACATATTTGTCATTGTATGTAAATGGTGGATGAAGGTAATACATATTTTAATCTAATATAGTTCCAGTAACATGACCAATCAACCTGCACAGTATGTGCAGGTTGATTGGTCCTGCACACCAATCAACTCCTGCTGCTTCTTGAGCAGCTCCTGCTATAAAAAGAGAATGATACTCTGATTTAAGTTTTAACAATGTAAGTTATACTAAAGCATGCATGACCAAAGCAAAGTCAGGACTGACAACAGGACAAGACCGTCTGCAACAGCAGACAAACAGAATGTTAAGAGTTCTGCCAGAGACAAAAACATATGAAGCTGATGGATTTTCACTCCTGTGGCAGATTTTAATCCTAAACGAATAAACCCTGACCTGGAAGAATTTCTTCTGGTGTCCCAAAGGCCTCCACTGGTTTCTCTGGCGTTGGCAGGGGTTGCAGAGGTAACAGGTCAACTGGTTCCTGGAAAACGGTCACTGGCTTGTTTACTGGAGGGTTTGGTAAAACGGTGTAGCCCATTCCGCCGGGACAGATTTCTTTAAACAAGGCTACAGACGACACAAGCACAGGCAACAAAGCATCCCATCATTATTTTCAATAAGTAAAAGCATCATGTTAACTATTATTGGCAAATTCAAAACTCTGACACCAATGTTGAAAGTTTAACTGCTGTTAACATATTGGAATAAACATTAAAGATACAGTTAGCAATAATTCCTAGAAAAAAAAAAGACATAAGCAGCATACCTCTCATGGATAGAATAGAATAGAAAAGAATAGAATAGAAAGATTCTTTATTATTCTTTATTCTTTATTATCCCCGAATGGGAGAATTCAGGTCTGTCAGTATATCCGCAGATCACATTACATTAAAGTAAAAATATAAAACCAGAAAACAATATGAGACAGTAAGGGAAAACTTCCAGGACAGGGCAAAGAAACCCTGTGGATTTATTAAAAAGTAAAATCAGAGCAAAGAAACATGTAACTAACTGGAAAAACAGTCCAAATAGCAGAAGGGTGTTAGGGATGCAAACAATTAATCAACATACAATTAACTGATATACAATACAATTAACATACCATTAATGGTTTCTTTGATTAAAATTAGTTCCAATTAATTAACCGCAGCACCTTCCAAAAGAGGGCGCTGCTGGTCATCCTTAAGCAGAGCAAGTTGTAAGAGAAATAATAATGGCGGAAGCTTTCCAGGACGGCAGATGAAACAGTCTGGTGTGGGATTCAAGATGCACCTAATTCGGTTCTGTTTTGAAATATAAACACTCGACAAACTCTTTAAGTTTCACCTTAACAGCGCTCATTCAGCAACTTCAACTTCTTAACCAAAAAATACTGATGTGCTGCAAAGAGGAGGAGAATATGAGAGCAAAGGAGAGGGAATAACACAGAATAACTAACATGATGGGGAAGAAAAACATGATGCCAATAAGCACGGTTGATTTTGTGTGCTGTGGTGAGTGAAGCTTTAACATTGATCAGAGAGTAACCATAACAACCTGCTTAGAGGCGCTACAATACGAAGGAAGCTGAATTAAAAGCATGACCAACAGCAGAGAGCATCACTCTCACCACTGACTATAGATTGACCTGCCAGCAGAGAACTACATCAGTTTCCCTCCACTTTGTTGACACGAACATCCCTGTGTTCATGGCAAATTAAGTATTCCACATATTCTACTCTTTTCATCTTTAATTTTTCTATTCAGCAACCTAAGAGGTTCCAGTTTTCTTAGATTTCATAAATATGGCAAACTTTAATAATATGAAAAAAAAACAAAATTTTCTGTTTACTCAGTCAGCTGAAAAAAATTGTTAAAATATAACAATGTGCTTCTTTAAAAAAAAAAAAAAAATCAGCATAATATGAAAATGTAGCCCTTCATCTTATGGAAAGACGGTTGACCCTCTGGACACAAGAGAAAACTCAAGTTTTTAAGAAAATGGCCACTTATCAATTAATCGTTAGTCGACCGATAAGATCAATCGACTTTAGATTAATTTATTAATTAATGATGGTCATACAGCAGTGATGGTCATAAAGTCATACAGCTGCTGGGAGGAAGGACCAGTGGCAACGCTCCTTAGCGATAAATACTCTGAGGCTGGGAGCCTTACCTGTTCCAGGAGGGGGGCATTTGTCACAACGAGGGCCCCAGGCTTTGCCCACACTGCAGCAGCAAAGCTGCTTGCTCAGCTGGGCAGACACTGGGTGTAAGCACTGCCTCGCTGAGTTGACGTAGCGGAAGCAAGCGCCCTTTTCTTCCTGGACGGCAGGTGTGTTGGCTGAAGAGCAGCACCAGGAGGAGGACGGAGAACGTGGAGGTGTAGGAAATGGTAGACCAAAGCGTAGGAGACACATATTGAAGAGAGAGGACAAAACGTGAAGAAATAAAGCAGTTCCCTTCACCAGAGTAAACCTTCCCTCGCCCACAAATCCAAAAACACAAACCCCGGCACATAAACAAGCATTCTACTGCTGGGTTATCCACAATGACATCTTGTGGTTTTGCAGAATCCCATCGCTGGTATCTAAACAATCAAAGCTAAAAAAAAAAGAAAAAAAAAGAAACATATGTCCACAAAACAAAGAAAAGATTGCAAGATGGAATAAAATAAGAAAAATGCCAATACGTCATGCACTAACACACAGATGCTGGCTGAGTTCAAGGCATGCAGGAGGTCACTGTGAAGAGGACAACAGCAAAGAGCGGCTTTTTGAAGTCACCAGATGGTATCTACACACCAAACAGTTACTTAGGCTTGCCAGGAAATACATTCCTGTTGTTTCACCAAGACATGTAAACACTGAGTTTGTTAAACTCTACTGGGACTTTAACCGGAACTGTATGTTTGCTTAGTGAACACACACTCAAGGTGGATCTAAAAGATGAACCTGTAGAAAACCACAATACACACAGGTAGGTAAGGTAGAGTCTCTACGATGCTCCGGAACTTTGTTGAAGTCTTTGAAGTAGCAGAGGAATTTAAATAACTATAAAATGGCTTTAGAAAGAAAAGTCACTAGAGGTTGTGATGTAGAGCAAAACGTCTGACCAAATCAGCCCAGAAAAGCTTCACCAGACATAAAATCATTTTCAGTCATCTCAGTTCTCAAATCTGAATCTTATGCAGCAGGGGTTTCCATCTCAAGTCTTCAAGAGCTGTGCTGTTCCCTGTTCCAACACACCTGAATCAAACGAATGGCTCATTACCAGGCCTCTGCCAAAATTAATGACACGCTGAAGAGGTAATTCAGCCTCCAGCTTTGTGGAATGACCTACAAGACTAAGAGCTGTGCTGCTGGAAAAAATTTAAATCCAGTGATGATTGCCAAGTTTCAAGAATGAATACAGAAATAGATTGCTCAGCAAATCACTAACTGTGTCAATAAATGCAACAAAAACAATAGTAATATGAGTCAGGAATTCAAAGACATACTAAAGAGAACAGTGATGAAAACTCAGGTTTTATTTTGTCTTAACAGACAAGCACTCACACACTCGCATGCGCACACACGCATAGACACGCACTCTGCTCTGGTGCTCAACACGCACGCTCACTATCAAAATTATTTGTTTATATCTTCTTCTTTTTACTGTAATTTGGTAAACCAACCTCTGTTGTCTGTATATGTCTCTGGCAGTGAGTCAGTCTCAGACAGTGTTTTGTTGTCAAAGTGTGGTAGGAAATATCAATTTCAAAGAGTATGGAAACAGGCCAAACTTAGAGTTCATCACCAGCTGCATTTCCATTTACCATAAAATTGCGCAAAATGAACACATGAAAATAAATTTGCTTAATAAAAACCTAGCAATGTTGAAAAAAAACCTGAGTTTTCCATGAAAAGTTTTTGTTCCTGGATGAGGTGGGGGATTTTGGCCATGTTAATTTAAATGTATTACGCAAAATTGCAATAGAGACACTTTTTTTTTTACATCGTATGAGTCACGTGATCAACAACTGGATGTAAGTACTGGCAAAAACCTAGAAGAAAATGACAGGAAGTGGTAGTAGGATGAAGGTTTGTTTTTGGGTTTTTTTGTGTTTTTTTCGGACAATGTACAGCTGGCTCCACCAGAGCTCTCACAGCATCACACTTCATAAAAAGTTGTTTTTTCTAAGGCGTTGAATTCATAGTTCTTCTGTTAAATCAGAGACTGAAATTTCCCCAAAACGCCGCATACGTAGCCACTTCCAAGAATAACAGGCTCGTCACTCCAATGACTAAAAACGACACCAACGTGATGAGCGCTAGCGCCATGGCTGAGTTATGAATATATCTCATTTAACCGTTCACATCCAGCCGTGTCATGAATTTTAATGACTACCATGTGAACAAGGTTATTCACGTGTGATTTTAGTTTAATTTCTTATTTAATGGGAAATTGTGTTTTTTGACATTAGCAGAATACAGACCCAGATTTGCACACATTTATTATGGAAACGCAGCTACTGGTTGATATGGATGTGTCAAACAGCGGAAACCAGTGGAGTTGCAGACTGGAGGACTTACGGATGCATTTGGTGAGAGAGGCGTCGGGGGCATAGCCAGGTTTACATGTGCACATGTAACTGCCCACAGTGTTCAGACAGTCTCCGTTAGGACAAACGTTCTGCAGCTGGCATTCATCCATATCTGTCAGTCGGTAAAAATGGAAAACATGTTTAGTCGAGGGGAGTTCTTTTGAAGATTCAATCACTTCAGAGAACAAAGAAATTTTCTTTAAGATGCAGAGTTAGTTGATTCTACTGGTGTTTATCAAAATGTTGAACAACTTCAGGTCTTAGAAGCCGTTAGGAGCTAACATGTTTAGTAAAATCTTTATGCTAAAATGTGCATAAACAAACAGCTCTAAACCGTCATTATCTGCACTCATTGCCACATTTTTAATGTCATATAAAAACAATGCACACATTGTTTTTAAATGACATTTCATTTTGTCAAACACCATCAGTAATCTAAGTATGATCAGCTTTTTAACAGGTCAGAGAAAATTAATTTGGGTAAAAATGTGTTTGCTTTATTTTATGTTACATTCATCTTCCTGAATAAAGATTGTTTTATGCTTTTTTCCTATGAAACCACAGCAAAGTGAGTTCAGAGTTATAGAAATAGGCATTTAAAATGAATCACTTCAGCACTGCAACTTATATCACTATAGATTTTTCAAATTCACAATCAGAACGCAAGTTTAACTCATCCCTAGCGCTCAACAAAACCTTATTGTTGAAGGTTTTGGGCGGCCTCGTACCAAGAGACGAGGCAGAACCATGGCAAGGTGTCAAATATGCACATTTCAGTTCCTTTTAAATTTTACACAGACTTATGCTGCAGCAACAAACAACAATGAAATAAAATTTCTTATTTTGTTCTATATGAAGTCATCCAAGTTTGTCATGTTAAAACCATAAATTTACACACATGTAAAGTGTCTTTTCTGCAGCTAGTTTGGTACTAAACGTCATTGAGTTCATTCAAACAGTTCAAATTTTTCCAAAAGATTCACAGTTGGAAATAGAAGGTCAACAACTAGAATGGCTAAAAAATAATTAAAAGGTGAAGCTCTTACCTTGGCAGTGAGAACTGTTGATCCTCTTGTATCCCAGAGGACAGTCTATAAAAGGGATAGCTGAGGAAGCAGGAGCCGGAAGTGAGCAACTGGATTGTTAGCTTCATAAATCTCCAGACACTAGCATATTTTATGAGCATCTAAATGAGTTTCTAGAACTGCACACACTTTCTACAATGAACAGAAACCATCTTTAAAGTCTAGTAAAGGCACAGTGATTGTCATTCGTTGTCATTCGTAGCAATTCTCAGATAATTTCATGTGCCTTACTGGCTTATAGTAAATTTGACCACTTTGGTTTCCTGCCTTATGTCAACAGCTCATTTAGATCCTTAATGTCTTTAAGCCGAGCAAGAGAAGTGGGGATACTGTGAGGAAGGATTAAAAAAAATTAAACTGGTATTATCATTGCAATATTCAACAATCATTTTCCAATATTAGAAGTTCCTAATAATGTTCAAATGGAAGATGAGGTGAAAAATGGGCATATGAATGGCATAAAAATTGCTTTTTCAGTCATTTCCTTCACATTGGTCAGAGGTGCTGGTTGTTTGGTAAGTCATAGTCCAAAGAAGGATTGAGTCTCTGTAAAAATGATAGAAGACCCCAACCTCTCACTCAAAGTTAACTGGGATGGACTGCAACCTAGATTACAACCTAGAACAAGATCAGGCAGGTACGAATGACACACGTAAATATTGATCAGAAAGCAATACACCTTCCAGTGAGTCAAATGCTGCTCTGAGAAGCTCATTTCTGTTGCAGTCGAAACTGAAACCAAGCTTTGCCCCACTGCTGGATAAGGCCACCAGCAAGGAACTGGTACACAAATACCTGCAAGCAGAGGCTTTGTTCTGTGGGAGACAACAAAGCAACATTTGTTTGACCAAGAAAGCCAAATTAACTGCCAGTTACCAATGTCTCTAAGGCACAATGGACTGTTTCACAGTCAACTGTAAAACAAAGGGGAAAAGAATGTCTGAACTTAAACCTTTGCCTTTCCTGCAGAGAAAAAAACCAACAGACAAATCCTCTAATGTGTAAGACCTCCCACTGTATGTACATGAAATAAGTATTTATCTCAAAGTGCTTAACTACTTACCACTAAGGACAAACTCTTTCAAATATCCATCAGAAGAAAATGTGCGAAATCTGAATTATTCACCTACTTAGAGTAACATTTTCTCAGGCGTTAATGATTCCAATCTGGGAAAATAGATCCTTGGTTCAAGTTGTGGTAATGAAGCACAAAGCATTATGGACCAAACCTTTAGTTTTTATCAGCATCTTTACCTTTTATGTTAAAATGGAACAGCTGGATTAAAATCCAGGTGCAATCAAGCTGTTTCAATTAAAACCTTGCAGGGGAAGGAGTTTTAATCAAAATCCCTTACTGGAGTTTCAATTGAGCCTTTGTGGGTTTACATGGTGAACCTTGGCTTTAAAGCTTCCATCCATCTATAAAAGGAGTAGTGTTGAATAGCTAGCTGCTACATAAAAAGACTGACAGGACCTTTCATAGCTCCCCCTCACAACTTTGTATAATGCTATAAAAAGAGCAGAGAGGCGAGGGCTGACACCACACGCCACCATGGCATCCAGTCCCTTTCCTCTCTGGAAATAACTCCTGTGGTCAAAGCAACCTGTGTGTTAATATATAAAGCATATTTCAGTGCTTTAGTTTTTATTATTGGAACCAGAATCAGGATCAGCTTCATTGGTCAAGATTGTGTTCACAAAAATAGGGATCCGACTTTGGTTTTACACGCTCAGAACATACAGACATTAAAAGCCTCGTTTCCTCTGAGTGGAACAGCAGAGGTCGGTGTGGTACGGTATGCTATTCAGTCTGTTTCCATAGTAAAAGCAGCCAATGCAACCAACCTTTACGTACCACACCATTCCTGGGCCGCATTCAGTTGTTAATAATGGTACGGTAGAGTTGGGGCTCACAACACTCTCCATTAATTGAAGGACAGAAAAATGTCACTACTTGCAACAACAACAACAACAACAACACACATTAATGTTTTTGGTAGAGTGTGGCGGTAGAAATGCTCTCCTGAAAACGCATAAAATATCAAACCAACTGGATAATTAGTTCTGTCCCATTGTGAAGTTGACACAGTCTAAAGTTGCATTTGAAGTAAAGCTTCTCCTGAAATTGCAGTTGTTGCCATATGCTGAGTTTTGCCAGAATAACTGGAATATCTAAATAATTTGGAGATAAAGAGTCATTGATAAAAGAAAAAAAATTAACCCGATTTTAAAATTATATGCAAATATACTACAAATATAGTAACTCGATCTGCGCAGAGGTACAAAAATTCAGAGGTGCACTATGAGGCATTGTAAGAGCGTACAAGGATGGCACCATTAGTGAGCCTTAGACCTTGCAAGGTGCAAGTAAAGCCTGGTGGTCCACTTATAATACTTTGGGGAAAGCCTGCATAACTGCTTAATGATCCAACTCCTACAACCTGGATCTTCTTCTCATCTCTTATTTTGTCTGTAAACTTAAAATCTGTGCATCCAGAACACACAGGCTAAAGAGGACACATAAGGTAAAAAGGTCTTTATGTTTTACTCTTGAACATTTGTACTCACAGGGTTTATTTGGACACTTCTGGCATTTGTGGAAGCCCCAGGAGGTCCCAATTGTTGCACAGCATTGATCCAGCTTGGTGAGACCCGGCAAAGCCTTTCCACACTGCAGATGGAAGGAAGATGGATTATTATTTTATCTCATAAAGAAAAGCACAAAGTGCGTCTGTGCTCAGCTTTCTCTCCATCCCTGATTATTTACAATCAAACACATTTAAACCTCCACCTCTCTAAATCATTGTGATGCTTCTCCTCTTCAGCCCGCACCAACTCTTTATCTTTATGGCAAAAACAACCTCACAAAATGTGACCTGCTCATGGCTATTTAAGACTTGAAAACCCGGCAGAGTGATATTTCTTTCCACATCAACCAGCGAATCTGTTCTTTATTTGTCTAGGACCTGATATCAGTACCATCCACTGGACTCAGGTTGTATTGTTCGGGCAGTGACACAATAAAGATGTCCATTTTAACAACCTGCTGTGGTCTGTCTGTGTTAACCTTGGGGGGGGTGCTGTAGATCACCTGCTTCCACCTCAGCCTAATTACAGAACCTTCCTCTAATTCATAAACGTCCTTCACTGCCACATCCTCTTCTTCCTCTACAACAGCTCTACATTCAACATTGTCTGTCCAAAATGTTCACTAATCTCCTCTGCACATGTCTGAGTCATTTGAGATTTGCCTTTCTAAATTTGTTCAGTCATCCTGAACTGAACGTTGTGAAAACAAGTCCTTCTTTTCAGGTCTGTTTGAAAGCGCCACCACCTCACATACATCATGACGACTCTCACAGTCATCCTATCATAAGTGGTCATCTAGCAGATGACAAGTTGTGACTGTTTCCAGCTTCTCCCACAACCTGCTAATCTGTCCTTGGTAAAGGAACTTTTTTTAAACATCAGTAGCTGAAGTTTCGCATAAAAAAAGGTTGATGGAAACAGCAAAATTTGAAAAACGTCCTAACTTTCCAAAAACGTTTTTATGCTCACTTGAGATGGTTTTTGGATTTTGCAAAAAAAAAAAAGTTAATGCACAAAAAGGGAGATGGAAGTACATTTGACAAATAAGTTCTCGCTATCCAGGAGCTGACAGCGCGTTGAAAAGTTATGGGGGTTTTGGAGAGCGCTTGATACAGGATGAGCGCATCCTCCCTCGCTCAGAGAATCTTGCCAAATTCTGATCATTTCAATTTGAGAGATGTTCCCTGATTTCAAAACTTTAGCTGCCACTTGCAATTCCAGTCTCCAGTGGGGATGAAATGTGAACAGCCTCAAGATTAATATCAAAACGCTGAGACAAATTGGTAATCCATGTTTATGTTTATGATTTAAGTGGGTTACATGTATCTGCTTGATGTGTGGTTTCATGGTGTGGATTCTCTGTTCAGCTTGATGATGAGTAAAAATAGATTATGATGGACTGTTGAATGTGTACCTTGCTCCCATGAAAGGCATGAAACTGAACATTTCTACATTTGTTTTTTTTTTTTCTCAGCAATTTGTAATGGCAACATCTGACGAAATTACACTTCGCGTGGCCTGATTGATTCGCTTCAAACTAATTATTAGAAAAACGCCTAACAATCATTTTCTTTTTGACGAGGTCGTATTTTGCATCACAATTGGATGGAAACATAGCGAGACAAAGACTGACAGGGCGCAGAGACCCTGTTAAAACGGGCATGTATTTAAGTCAAACTACCCTAAATTAAATAAATAAGTGAATCTTGTTTTTTCACATCATTTCTCTGAAATTAGGGTAATATGGAAACAGTCTAAACACAGTTACACTCTAACATCTGACAACTTTTTTTCTGTTAGGATACATACACAGACACAGAGTGAAAAGCTGCCTGTTGTGTGACATGACGGTAACTCGTAGTACTGATCTCTGACGGTCTACCTGACCGGCTGCTGTTTCCTGGAAGCAGCGACCCAGGGTGTTCTTGGAGGCGACAGGCTGGTAATGGGGAACCTTGTAGCCATGGTGGTTGGGATGAACCATGTTGTAGCCATGCTGCTGAATCTTCTGGCTGCTTTCAGAGTGGTGGTAGCTGTAGCTGCTGGATGAAGAGGAGCCTGAGTGGGACCCTTGTTGTGGGTGCCCATTGTCCAGCTGGGACACTTGGTGAACCTGAACTGAGGCTTCTGGGGGGTGTTTGATGTGGATGTTAACAATGCCTGGGTTGAACACTGGTGAGATACAAGAGATGGATATTACAGTTACGGCTATAAGAGATATTAGGAAAAATGGAGTCTAAAAACCAACAGAGATCAGGAAAATATTATGTTAGCAATTGAATATGTTTCAGTTAATCTAAAAGTCTTTTTCTATCATTATGAATCTCTTTCAAATTGTATGTTTTACCTAATCAAATTGGTATCCACTTACATTAAGATAAATTCAACACAATTTATTCTAATTCTGTTTGGTTCCATATGTTCATCTACAGCTCAGTCAGATTCCCATCCATTCACCCGCTCCCTAAAGGCGGGACAGATGGCTCTGGTCAGTAGGGATGCATCTATTTTTTTATTTTTTTTTTTACAAGGAAGCGGAGTGAGACAAAGTGAGGAAATGGGGCTGCATCAACCAAATTACCCATAATCCCTTTTGTCTATACCAGATAACTGTAGTGAACAGAGAAACATAAAGACCTTCTAAAGCTGTACTAGAAATTTAACCAAGTAACAGAAAAGAGAATCCCTTAAAGTTAATAGTTTTTAAAAAAAAATACTAATGTTTTGATAATGGCTAAAGTTTGAGAAAAAAAAATTTAAATAATATTTTTTTATTATTCCAGTTCTGGAAGCAGAAGGCTGTGGTCATTACAAGCTGCACTTCACATAGTTGATTTGGACCACTAAAGAATGAATCATTAAAATCCTTTGTTCACAATCACATAGGAATGGTCTGCAAATCAAGAGTTGAAATAAATAACCAAGCACTCAGTTTTTAAAAGTAGAACTGACATAACAGTAGTGTCTACTCACCAGGCGTCTGTCCATGGCTGTATGTGAGAGGCAGGGTATGTGTAGACATAATCTGAGCCTGGCCATAGGCCACAGACGACTGCTGGTGCTGCTGGTGTCCATTTTGAACGGGCATTTGGCAAAACTTGCCAGCAAAGTTCGGGGGACACTGGCACTTGTCCCTGGCACTACATTTACCACCATTAATGCACGGCAGGTGACACACCACTGAGGACACAACAGAAAAAAGATGTTAGAGCAGGAACTGTTGGTAGAATAATCCTCTCAGAGTAAAAAAGAAAGAGTTGATAGAGTAAATGTCTCTTAATATTGACAGCCATCCACGATAAAGACAGTTTGCAGATAATAAAGGAGGTACATTTAGCTACCACAAGAAAAGTTTATTTCTGTCCAAAGACCACTAGGCTTCTGTAAGAGCACAAGTTCTTAAAGAAGACAGATGAAATCGATGTTTGGATTGGACCACTTTGGAGCAATGTGGTGGTGGACAGTTGGTTGTATGAGCTTCCTTAGTCAGCACCTTAAAGCCACCTTGACAGCCACAACCTCATACGTATATCAACATATTATACAGTCAAATATGGGATCATCTGCTCAACTACAAAGCAAGACAATGATATCAGTCACAGGATCAAGTCTACAACTGAAGGCCAAAAGGTGCTGCAATGGTTCAGTCAAAGTCCAGACGTTAACCTTAGTAAAATGTAGTGGTGTGATTTTAAAATAAACTAAAATAACTAAAAAGAAGAGTGGGCCAAAAATCCTCAACTCACGAGGCTGACATAGTCACCCAAAAAGTGACTACTGGAAGTTATTGATAGTTCAAGAGTTGTCAAAATATGGGGTGTACTTAGTTTTCATACACAGTGTTAGCATTTTGATTTCAAATTTGTTTAACAACATTGGAATTAAATAATTCTGGCACAAACCATATTACTTTTTCCCATGTAAAACTGTAAAGCTGGAAGATAAGAAAGGTGTACTTTCTTTTCCCAAACACTGCATGTACAAACAGAAAATGCTACATTGAAAACAGACAAACCAGTCATTAATAGCAGAAATACAATTATTACATACCCAACAAGAGGTCAGATATAAAAATCTAAAGTTTCCACTTCTGACTTATTTAACAGAGTCCGATGAGGCTCAAGACAAAACAGCCAAACCAGACGTGGTTCAACACTGATTCCAACTTCATTCCAATCTCACCGTTTCATTTGTCACACTTACCAGACAGTGAGTGTCTCGTAAGTGTGAGAAATGATTCACACACAGAAGCACAGCCATTGTGACTCATGTCAGACTAAAGTCATCAAAGGCATCACTGATTTAGCTTCCTGTCCAAACCATGACCCTCATCACCACTTACTCATCAGATTTAATTAGAAACATTCAGGATACCAGGAGAAAAATAAATACTTTTCAGATCTTTCACAAAGCTGAGTTTTTCTGATGACTGTTTATGAACAGAGAAGGAAAAATTAGAATATTATTATACATGAAAAACACAATTCCTGCCTAAGGGTCACTTCATTTCATTAGAAATGTCTCCATGTAGCAACAGATACAAAATGGAGCAATTTAAGGCATATAAAATGGATGATTTTCATTTTACACAAAATGTCAGAACTCATCCTTTTCCTTCTTTGTCGTTTGGTGGCTGTGTCTGAAAACACAAATAACAATAAGCGTCACAGGCAACATTATTGTGAATATTATTTTAGCAACAGCAATATAAAAATTGATGCCTCTTGTTTTAGAGGTTCTACATTTCCATTTTGAAATTGTGTGTTGATACTGGGATACTGTTGCTTTTGGGAATCTATTTATTTGTTTTATGGAATACACACTGCTCAGCACAAACTTCCTGTTTGGGCCTGTTTGTGCTGAGCAGGCCCATCACGAACACAAAGTTTCCTTGAAGCAGGATCAACTCTCTGAACAGCTGTAAACATTAGCTTCCTTCTGAAAACGGTTGGACTGGAAATCCATTAAAACGTCAAAAGAAATGTTTAAAAGCCCCCCTGAAAGCCAGAAGAACCATTTCTCAAGATGACTTTTAAATATTATAACAGGTTCTGGCTCAGTGCAAGCACGATCCTTTGGAAGATAAATTGAAGCAAAGATCAGGTTTCCATCGTCTTCCCAGTCCCCTCTTCCCTCTTCTCTACAGAGGAAACACATTTGGCTTCCATCAATAGACTTGGATGTTTGACAGGAAAGTTGTTGAATGCAACAGAGAAGCAACAGTCTTCAGGTTTTAAAGCATTATAAACACTTGATGGATGGATGAAGAACTGGGCTGCCACTGTTATCATTCTTCAGCTGATTATCAGGTTAAATGCCTCAGTATCAAACCAATCTACGGGCTCACAAGATCTGGTGTAAAACAGAGGTTTACTGTACAGTGATCACTTTGGATGAATATTAGAAGACCATGTTAATTATTAGGTCATGTTTAAACTTTTTCACTTTTGATCTTTCAGAGCATGTGGTCATGACAACTCTGATAGGAGATGTAAAGAACAGAGACTGGAAGGGAGTACAACCAGATCCACCTTTTTGCTTTCAGTGAATCATGACTCATTTCAGATTCCTCTTTTCTCTCATAAGAAAAGTATGATAACATAGCAAGTGTGATTTATTTTGTTGCACTACCCTTAGCTCGGTTTGGATTTCAGATAAACCATTGTCTTGGTTCAGTTCTGCTCATTTTTAAACAGATGAACGAGACGGCAGACAGAGGGAGAAGGGCAGGAACAAGAGCAAGCCTGAGCAGGAACACAAGTCATCACCTTTGCTTCTGAACATATGCAAAGTGCAGTGTGGATCTAAACATTAAGACCAGGATATGTAGCGTGGCGAGGTAGCATAGAGGTGGTTTAACCACCTGGAGGTGGTGGTTTCGTCAAGGCTTGACAACATTTCAAGTCGTCAAACCTTGAAATGTCCATGTTGCTGAAAAAAAGAACCGTTCTCTGCAACATGGTGGCTTGACGACGTACATCTTTAAAATGTATTTTGAAAAATAAAGCCCATACTTGGAGTGACTCTAATGTTGGCTGGAAAATTATTCCAGAACTTAGTAACTAGAGGAAGTGACAAAGACATAATCACCACTACTTTTAAGTTTGAATCTTCTATTATTTAAAAGCAACAGGCCGATTGACTTCAACATTTTTGATTTAATAGTATAATATGCAAAGTCCCTTAAAAGGATCAATGATTAGTTGTAAAAATACACTTTATTTGAGAACTACTTATTTTAGATGTAAAAGCAATACATTAATAATACTTTAGGCAGTTTAGTTTTTACTAATTTTAATAAAATATTGTCACACGAACGTTGCCATGTTGTTCACGCTGCAATGCATTCTAGGTAAATGACATATAATGGTCCAACTGCGCTAGATCCGTCCAGCCAAAACAGCGATGAGTAACGTCACTAAGCATTTTTAATTTTAACTAGAGTGCATTTAAATCAATCGAAATTGTAGGAATCAACCTGGAGGGAAAACATCTTCAAGAGGTAATGAAGATGAGGAGGACCAAACTGAGGAAGAGGACAGAGTTGGCCGTAAGAGCTGGTGTTTTGCTTCTGCTGCCACCTTCAGCTTCCAAAATTAAACAATAAATGACATATACCTCTGGTCAGACTGCATGATCTGGTAAGTACTTCTATAGCTCTGTGACCAGTCTCCCTGTGTGGACGTAAATGGGGCAGCAGTAGTGCTGCCTATTCTACTGCCGCAGAGTTGTGTTAATATTTAAAAGAGCTTCCAGCGCTGTCTGATGTTTCTCCCTGAGTTTTTCGCTCTCTCCTCAGCGGCAGCGGGGTTTAGGTGCTTTGTGGATAAAAATTGTCAACACAACATTTGTTTTTAGCTCACTAAGGTAACAATCACCTGTTAGAGCCTTTGTCAGTTTTGCTCGTACAAATGACAAAGTCTTCTGGAGAGAAATGTTGAGAACACAAATGTAGGTCCTTCGGAAGTTGTTCGGTGTTCTGTCAGATCAGCATTGGCTGTCAGACTGTGCTCTTCTTCTGTTAGAGAGGAGATTCATGTCTACACAATCACTGGATAAGCAGTTGCACCACGCCATGTCTAAGGACAGCTGCGTGAATTATCAAGAGGATTTATCATTAAAGGAATATATGATCCAACAGAATACTGAACTTTTGGTTTAATAATCCTCAGTAAGAAGCATATATTGCAGATTAAAAAGAACAAACAGCTCAGTGTACAGCATATATCAAAATGACACAAAAACACATTAATGGTTTCCACAAATTCTATTTTTGGAAAAGAGTTTGTGAACTCTATTCCACAAACTTTAACAGTTTTGGCATATCTTAAATGATAATAATAATTGTTATGATATTCACTTAATGTTGTCTGAGTTTGTTTTTTAAATGGCTCTCATTTTCTATTCTTGAGCATGAAGTTACGGCAACATAAAACGGAAAATGTGTCCACCCAGAGGTGATGCACTAGAGCTGTTGTTAGTGACATTAGTTGTGCATTACATTTGGTACAGTAAAATTGAACTTAACATGAAAGGGATGAACTCCCTGGTTCATGCAGGGTTAACAGCGTTTTTAAACCTTGCATTAATCCAGGCCCAATCATTTGTTCAGCTGAGTCATAGCAGAATTCAGCTTGTTCTGCTCCAACACTCAGCTATCCTTTGTTCAAACAGAGGCAGGTTGAGACAGAGTTTGGTGAATCCATGCAACAGTACTCGCATGTAATGGCATTCACAGCACTGAAGCTGCTTCATGGGATCTTCGGTTTAAACTTTCAGGATAGAGTCAGCTTCAGGATGGTCGCTGCTCACAGCTGACTGTCTAGAAACCAGATCATTTCAACCAAAAACAACAACTAAAATTTAATCAGGTATAGAAGTGGAAGAGCAACTTAGTCAGCCTCCAGAGTCAACCCCCATCCCATCCCAAGGCCCCCAACCCTGACCCCAAAAGAGATCCTCTGTGGTTGTAAAGCTTCTTGTGGCAGCTGGTGAGTAAATAATTCTCAGAAAGTCTGGTCCAGTCTGCCTCGTCATGCGATCAAAGGAAAAATTCTCCAGAAATGAATAATTCTTTCACATGCCTGCAAATACATCTGGAAACTGATCTTTTAGAATGCTATTCTATCCAATTCTCTACTGTATATTGTGAATACATCTAAGCCAACATGTCACAGGACAGCGGAATAGTCATGACTAATATAGAAACTTTTAGGACTGATTCTTTTGAGATGCTGCCAAAACATAGCAGGCCACCTGAATCAGCATTGGGAAATGTTGATAAAACATTTACAACCCTGAAAACAGAGTGACTACACAGTCAGAACAGGTAACCAGGCTACTTGCATTAATCTTACTAATGGTTGACATAAAACACTTAAGAATGTTTAAGATATCTCATTCACAATGTTGTCATGGTTTGAACTAATAATGAAATTCTTCAGTAACAGTGACTGCTCTAGCTCACACACAGTGTGACTTCGCCTCTGAAAGGCTAGAAAGGCTGTTTAAAGCTCCCGCATTTGCAGAAAGAAAAAAATATATACTTTTGGCAGAATGCACTTTTATATTTTGAGGTGTGAAAATAAAAAACAACTCCTCATGCTGGGGGTTATGAGTGGTCTAACATGAAAGATTTGCTTTAGATTCATTTGAAAACAGCTGTATTTGTAGTCTCAGTAATTCCTTTAGAGGCAGCTGTGTAAACTCTTGTCAGTTACTGTCTCATGGACACTTTAACATAAAGGCAATTCAATTTTTGATCCATACAAAAAGTAGAAATAGATTATATTTACATATTTGAAAGTTGTTGCATTTAGTTATTTAAAAGAGAAATCCGAAGCAGTTAAAATCGATTTTGGCAGCTCACAGCTTTATGACATCAGAGACCAGCAATCATTCACAAAATTCTCTGAGCAACGTCGACACAATTCAAATACTTTTCTTCCGTTGAGGTAAACCTTTGTTTTATGATTAGAGACGAGACAATGGTCGCTGGTGATGGTGGAAACCAGAAGCAGCCAGAGTCAGGATCACCTACCTACTCTGAAGTTTGGCGCTGTCAGCGTGTCTGTGGTGTGGCCGTTCTCACTGATGATGGTGGTGGTGTTTCCCCTCTCACAGCTGTTGTGACATCTGCTTCCTACGCAGGTCACTTTGCAGATGGTGGGTGTGAAGACCACCTTGATCCTTCCTGTTTGGTTCCCCAGAGCTGCTGACAAAATGGCACAAACCAGGAGGAGGGAGAGCAGGAGTCTTGTTAGAGCCATAAGAAGCCGAATTACTCTCCGGTTGAATCTGGTCCCTCAGAACTGCCGAGACTCCAGTCAAAACAGTGAACTAAACTATGCTGTCATTAACATTTCTGGAAAACTTCAGCATGTGGATCCTCCTTGCTTACGTTACTCCTCCCTCTCCACTTAATCCAACAGCACCTCCGAAATGTGAATGAGACGCAAGGAAAAAAGAAAATATGTGGGTGAGGTTAGCAAACAAAACTCTGGGCTGTTGTCCAATCCTTCATCAGAAGACTTGGACAAAACGATGAGCAACTTCTGACCCTGTATGCACACTTCTCGTTCTTCTGGTGCCTGTTCCCTCTATCTGGTTTTATTTCAGGTTCACCTAACTATCCTTAGAACTTCTTCATCTCGCATGAAGACTGAATGGCTCATCCCGAAAGCCAGAAATAAGACAGGGAAGAGCTTATCAACTCGTTTCTCCGTCTGCATCGTCTTTTCCCCACCCTCAAGAATGCCAGCCTACAGAACAAAAGGCCGGAAGAAAAGATACCTGAAGGCACATCATATCTACCTCAGAGTTAGTTCACAGCTTGTCTTTCTGCCCATTTTAGCATCAAAGTGTTCTTTGTTCTATTAAGTTTTGTTTTAATTCTCTCTGTTATCTTCACGTCTCTGTATTATTAAAAATCTGTTCCCTGTGCGCTGATTCCTGGGTTCTGTGTGCCGGGTCCAAACCCCTGTCTGCACAGAGCTCTGCTGTGTCTGCGCCTGTCAGCTGGTTTACAGCACAATTATGGAATCAAGTCGAGCAGCCAGAGGAACATTTTACCCAATATTATGCAGTATTTAGAGGAGGATGCCTGCAGCGTATGTCTATGGAAATACTTCTACTATTTAAACACTATGTGTACAGGTGAGATCTTTACTGGAACAACACAGGCCAAACATACCAAATGATTTTCAAAACACACACTGGAATCACAAATTATTCTCAAGGCCAAAGTTTGTTGGGTTTTATTTCCAGTGGGTTTTTGTCAGGTCTAAAAAACGTTTCCTCATCAACGCATGTCATTTAGTCTGGTTTGCTGTCGGCTGGGATTTCAATAGAGTACTGCTTGTTCTTAAGCCTATTTTAACTCTTCATCATCGTGGAAAAAAGCAAACTGGATGCTTTGTGTTATTTTGAAAACTATTAGTCAAATCTAATATTTATCCTAACAGGAACAAAAGTATTAATGTTTAAAGAACAATCGTAGAAACAAAGTACCTGTTAAGGTGAAATCTCAGAATAAATCAAACAAAGTGCTTTTTTAACAAATCTTCATCTCCACATATTGGAATTGGAGATTTTCTCCTCACTGAATCATATTGGAATTTTTATCTCTAAAATATGTAACTAAATTAGTTACCTAATTGTTTTTGTTACATTCAATCATCTTCAGTGGAAAAAATTATTGTATGCTCATTAACATTTATTTATTTATTTATTTACACTTATTTTGCATCTAGACCAGCAATTATTGGCTAAATATAAGCTTTGTATGTGGAGTTCTTGTTTCTCTTTAAAAATAAATCTTAGGACAAAAATATTTTAAAAATAGTTTAGGTTTTTTGACAAAAGACGAATAACTGACTCCCAGCTGTCAGTCCAAAATATAGACTTTTCTGCATAACTTTGATTTCTTCACCAAACTACTGTGCCTACTATGTTGTTTCTGTATCTCATCTGTCTGTAAATATTTTAACTGAGGAATCTTTTCATTAATTTATTCATGACGGTGTTAACTTTTTCTGTTTTTACTGTGAATATTCTGTGACCTCTGCGTGCCGCTGCCAGCCTTGGCCAGGATTCTCTTGCAAAAAAAAAGTTTATTCTCAGTTTGATTTTCCTGGTGAAATAAAAGTTTAATAAAATATAAAATATGGTCCAGAAACAACCAGGACAATGTTTCAGGTTTCATTTCTGTGATACGAGAGAAAATTAAAAAAAAGTAGAAAATCCCAGTAAATACTGTGTTGATCAGTTTATTTATTTTATTTTTCTCTTGTCTTAACTCCAGTGTGTTCTGGTCTGTTTCACAGCACAATCGTGGAGTGAAGCTGATGGTCGTAGGAGTTTTGGACCCAGCACAGAGAGGCCAGCACCTTCTCAGGGGGCAAATACTGTCCCACAGGACTGTAGCCATTTTGAAGTAAAACTGAGAGAATAAGTAAATATTTAGCAGCATCTTTGTTGGCTAAGTCAGCTAGGCCATGTGTAGGAGACAGAGTTGAATGGTTGGGACACAATCAGAACAGTTGTGTTTATCTCTCGTACTAAATTCTGTCTTCGAAATGTGCTAAACTTCTCTAGATGAAAAATATGGAGCTATAATTAGGTTTGTCAGCAATTCTCCAGGCAGATTCGTGTTCTCCTAGTGACAACATGTCAGAAATACTTCTCATCACAGCAATGAGAAAACTTCTCCATCTACTGATTTCACATCTGTAACTATGTTGGTTTTGCACACGCCTCCTGCAGACTGTCAAGCCTTGTCAAGCATATGGAAAGGAAGTCAGCAGAGTATCTCAGACAAAAACACAGACATCAGCCAAGTTTAGAACAGAAAGGATCACAATGAGATCCATCCAGTCTGCAGCAAGCAGAGAAAGCAAAGAGAAATCCCTTTACAGAAGTCTGGAAGAAATGTGTCTGGTGTTCTCTGGTGCATTTATTGCTTTAGAGGTTGAAGGGATGAGCAACAGATCAGAGTCAATGCATTTGAGTAATTGATGATCAACAAGTGTGACCAGTTTGATCAAATTTTCTGTAAGATGTGTTAATACACACCTTACAGGTACAGGTGGGGGCTAACACAATGCCAAAAAGGGAAAAACATCATCAAAGACCCGAGAAGCAAATGACGCTTGCCATCAGTAAAAATGAACTCCACCATTCAACAGGGAAAACATAAGGTACAAGTGAAAATACGGTGAACCTCTGCCAATATTGTCAATAGTGGACATAGAAAGACTGCAAGGTCAGACAATGAAATGCTCAAAGAAACTGTAAAAAGGCTAAGATACAGCCAGGTGTCTACAGGCTTCAGTTAGAGTCCTGATCTTAAAGCTGATAATAAAACAGTTTGGAAAGACTGAGAGATCCTCCCACAGTTCAAAGCATGACTGATGTAAAGACACTTCCATTATGTCTTAATCTGGCCATTTTTTCCCCAATGCTTGATTCTCATTTCCCTTCACATCTCCATGTGGGATTCCTCACATTGAGCTGTATTCCTCTGGTAGAACTTCTACTGGGTCAATCAGCGAACAGAAGGAGAAGAAGTTGTGAACAATGATGTTGATTTTCTGCAATATTTTAGAATTGTAGTCCGCCTGCAGTTTCAGCAATGGCAGTGGAGGGAGAGAACGAAGCTGATGAGTCCGTGTTGGCCACGCTTCCAAATACTGAATTAAGATTAATAGTCACCTAGTTTGGATCGAAACTTCTCTCTTCACAGTGGAGGATGATTGTTTACAGCAAAAGACAGTCATGTACAACAGAACAGAAGTCCGTTTCTTCTTTTTAAGGTCTTGACTTGTCTCAAATGTATTTTTTACAGCAAATAAATTAATTGAAGTGGCCCAATTAAGTTTTTTTTTTTCCAATTTCTATATAAAATCTAATTTCTGGTGATCATAAATCCTCCCTACAACTCCTGTTTGCAGTGCAACAATCTTTGATCAAAAATGCTTGTCAAAATTTTTGAAAAGTTAAAAACAACAGTCATCACACTGTGTGGTGCATTTATGAAGAGCAGCAGCTTAGGAAGCGCAAAGCAAACTGTCTGAAATTCCTGTTGAAAGTTAGTTTTCATGTATAAAACAAACCAAAACACTAAAAGCAGAAATAAGAGGACCTGCTCACCATGGATGGAGTTGTGTCCCACCGTCAGAGGGATGGGGCGCTCAGGTTGGGGCTGAACATGCATCTGTGTGTGTGTGGTGTGTGTGTGGTAGTACTTGGGCTTGATGACGTATTGCTGGTTCTGTCCAGAGTGGACAGGCCGGATTCTGAAAAAAATAAATAAGAAATAAGAACACAAATAAACAGAAGCAGATAATCCATTTACTAGTGCATAGAAAGCGTGAAAAAAAAATTAAGAGTAACATAAACAAAACTAAGTTACATGCAGATTTTCCTCAACAACATAAACAGTGAATTTGACTAAAGCAGGTGATTTACTTGTGACAGTGGACAGACAGCAGCTGCATTCACAGCTGTGATCAGTGACCAATCCATAGCAACACTTCCATTTAGTGAGACTTCTCCATATTTAAAGAATGCAGTTCTTCACCATGAGTTGGATGTTATCATTTACTGCATAATCACTTTGTCAAAAATTGCTAAGTTCCTCTGATTCGTCCAACCGCAGTGTCTCACCATGCTTAATTTTTCAGCCTTAGGATTTAGAATGTTATCTGGACCAAAGACAGAACAGAATCTAAGAACTCAGTCCTTACACATGGTGGAGCATCTAAAGACAGATACCAAACCCCGTAACCATGTGAGAGAGTCTGTGTGCGTGTGTGTGCATGTATAACAGAACAAGAGACGAAAAGTAAGAGAAAAGAAACCCATTAATTAGGGATTTAATCAAAAACATAAGAGGTGAGCCATATCAACAAAATGGAACTGTTCCCTATTTAAAACTGTGAAAACTTTAGACTTTTTTTGGGTCAAGGGCGGCAGCATTGACTCCATTATAAAGCGGAACTTGCAAATATGTTGTAGGTGAAGCAGAAGACATGCTTAGAGTGAATCTGCACCTTTAACAAGGACATGATCAGGTTACATCAACATCAGCTTTAACTATTAACTCTGAGAAAGCTGACAAGATCCAGCAAACAGAATCTCAGCAATATGTTCTACAAATGATGCATTAGAATGGTATGAGGAGGCAGCTGCTAAAGAGCTGAGGAGTCATGGACATAACAAAGGTCCAGTTAAGCATCATTCCGTCCAGGTTTGTCTGAATGCTCTGGGACACCAGTTAAATTAACAGAGCAATTTTAGTTGCTTGTCCAACATCTTTTACTGTCTATGTATTTCTATTTGTCCCTTATTTACCATGATTTGAGTGGAAATTATGATTTAAAGCTCACATTTAAAGATGAAACTCTATAGTAATAATGTTCCTTTTTTTCCCACAGAATGTTTTTAGCTTATTAGTAGCTTCGTCTCTGTAGTGAATTCACAAAGCAAACAGCTTTAATGATATGCTGGCAGAAAAACTTCATGCACCTTCAACAGATGTCAGTAATCTGCACTCCCTTCCTCCTGAAACTCATGATCTAAAATATGACTTTCAGCCACAAACTAAGCAGGTACAGAGGTGACAAAATATATATTTGTTTTCTCCCAGAGAGGTTCAGGCCCTGACAAGACTCTCTTCAACTCTGTGGCATCTCACTGTGTCAAGGAGGAATCTGGAGAATTATGAACGGGTGATTTTAAGTTGTATTTCTGGTTTGTGTTTGATCTTATTTACACCCTTTTAGGGACCAGATTGAGTTTTATTATCTGCATTTAGGTATGCTCAACTAAAATATGGTTTGCATACAGCACCTTTTGACATTAGGCCAGTTGTTGGTGGTCACAGCTAACGACAGAGTTCATCATCCTCCTCTACTATTAAGCGTTAAGCCCATATGGAGCTACAAGGCGTTTCCCACTCTTTCTCCTCTCAGTCAGGTCACACAGGCCTTACACAGACTGTCTGTTAGCTACACACTGGATGCCAGGATTTTGCTCAGCCAAACGGAGCATGTGCTCTGAATTGTGATCATGCACTCATGACATTAATGGAGATAAGCAGCTTATCTCAACTTAGTTACAGAGATCAGTCTCAGCATGAATGGTGGGAAAGAGTGATAGCCCATGTTTGGGGGAACCTGCGCCGCTGCCAGTGGATGAGGATGTGAACAGTGACTGGCCGTGTGCATCATCCCTTCATCAAACAAAAGAGGAAGTACATTATTGTGGAAAACATACAGAGATTCTCTGACAACTCTAATCTCAAAACTCTTCCCTAAATCCACTCACCTCACAAAGGTTATGAGACCATACGTTTACATCAGAGAACTTTTTATATTTTATATCTGAATATTTGACCTAACAACACAGGAAGGTTTAATTCCTTAAACACATTTTATATGCTATTATTATAAAAGTCCAATTCCACAGAAAGTGACAGCTTCCAAGCATGTAAAAAGTTTTCACCTCACTTGGGTGTTTCAGACTTTAATTGCATTCATATATGAAATCCTGGTCTATATAAATTGGGGTTTTTGTAGACATCTGACTGATTTGTACTTTGCACTGCTCTTAACTGTCACAGATATAATACAATCCATCTATGAGTTGTCTTAATGCATATGACAATATTATGGACTGTATTTTAATAGCATTCAAATGGCTACATAGTGTCAGTGTGTTTAAAGGGACTTTCATTCGTCTTAACCCATGTGTAAAGTGTGATGGTGTCCATTAATGTACATGTTGAGTTTTCTAAGGATACAAATTCTGGTAAAGGAGTTGATATAGTAGACAAGGAGTATTAATCAAGTTGAACACACATCACTCTAGCTATGTTTCCATCCCACTGCCGTGTGAATTTTGAACAAACTTTAAAAATGTTGTGGAAAAGAATATGCAAATTAAGCATTTAACTAATCAACCAGGCTATGGAAAGTGTAATTTCATCAGATGTTGACACTAAACATGGCAGCAATATACAGGAAGTAGAGGTTGCTTCCTGTTTATTGCCACATCTGAGATGTGCCTGGTTCACACATCTCAGAAATGGAGAGAGGTTCTCAGGAATGTGATGCTATTGGGAAAGTTGTCATTGTTCTGCCATGTCAACTAGTCCTGGTGATGTTTCAAGCTGATAAAAATTTTTACACATGACTGATGGAAACAGCTGGTCATGGTCATGTGAAGTAAATATTATGTTATTCAGGAAATGTATCTCCATCTCCCCTTTAGTGCATTAACCAACTAAAGCAAACGGAAAAACATTTTTGTGTGGAGCTGAGGAAGTTACTTCAAATTTAGCAGTTTCCATCAACGATAATGCAATACTTCAAAAAACATTGATGGAAACATGGCTACTGTGGGTGATCTAACGCAAGAACAAGAGCATTATGGGCATGCGATGACTAGGATCCTATGGCATGACGGTGGAAGATTCTATATTCAGACACACAGCACAGATGGTTGCTTTTATTACCTCAGTTTACAAGCTAACCATTCCCTTCACAACATGATCTCAACACTTCATAGCTACTGACAGAGGAAGTGAGTAACATTGTTTCACTGAAAGCCTAGTTGAGTTCTTCAATTTTTGAAGGTCTTTAACATGATCCAGCTTCCTAATATGACCAAAAACCCTTGATGGAGAGTTTAAGAGAGATTAATTCAGCAGTCGTGGTATAACTGTGTTGATGCAAGACACTAAGGATAATCCTGGGAGGATTTTTTTTCTCCCACATGGAGCAGGTTTGGATTTCACAACTAAGAAAAAGCTGCACATTATTCCCTAAAACACTCATTAATTGACCTTCAGACATTTTAAATTAAATGACCATCCATTTCTAATCCATAGGGTGTAATGTAATGACAGCAATCCCTTTGTGGTTATAACAGCTTAGGCTCTTCTGGGAAGTGTGTTTTTTGTTTGTTTTTGCTTTTTTACCATTCTGTCTGTAACACATCTGTGAGGTCACATACCGATGTTGAACCAGAAGGCCTGAATTCTCAGATTTAATCGTTCTTAAAGGTTTTCTATCAGATTAAGGTAAAGGCTGTGAAGGCCAGTCAAGTTCTTTCACTAAACTGGCTCATTCTTGTCTTTATGGACCTCAATTTATGCAACCATGGACAGTCAAGTCAGAACAGGAAGGGCCAACTCTCCAAACCAGTGTGTCATTCTAATTGCTGCGTCCTGTGACCAAGGTAACATTATAAGCTACTCTGTTCAATCAACCAATCAATCAAATTTTATTTGTATAGCACATTTCAGCAGCAAGGCATTTCAAAGAGCTTTACATAATTAAAATAAAAACAGCATGTGACATTGAATAAACAGTGAGAAAGAGATTTTGAAAAAAAAAAGATTAAAAAAGATAAAAACATTAAAACCCGCACCCCTTTTAGGACTTCAGTTAAATGTCGTTTAACTGGGACTCTAACCCTCTGGGAATTTAGTCAAAAACACCGTTTGACAAGGACTCTAACCTCTCAGAAATTCACTTACGTGTCTGTCGTTATCGTAAAATTCACTTACCTGTTGGCTAACATAGTTCTCTAGATTTTTGGGTTTGTGTTAAAAGAACAGGTTCATAAATAGATAGAAACTGACAGGCTTTTAATGGTGCGGCCATCACTACAGTCTGTATGTGACATCCATATTGGATTTTTAATAATGGGGGTTGGTGGAAAATGCTATGTCAAAATTTCACCTCACCATCACTGTTTCACATGTGCTGTCATAGCTTAAATATTATATCTATGACTGTCCACAGTTACAATCTTGACCATATGAATGGAAACGTACTACTTTAAAAAACTTTTTTTTTTTTAATTCCAAAATTATTTAGTGGGTAGATGAAATTTAGAAAACAAGAATAAAGGTATGTCAAGTGAAGTTTTGTTAGATTCCAAGTGTTTTATCAGATGGACTGGAGATGTGAAGTAAAGCACTGCCTAGAGGAGCCATTTGGTTTTGCGAGATCACTTGTTAAGGATAAATCAAATTTGTATCATTTTATAACCACATGAAGCATTGACGGCCATGTTGATAAGTGTAAATGGTATCTTTATAGGCGAACGTGTTAGTGTTAGAGATCAAGAACTCCAGTAAGAAGGAGTTATCCAGTTTATAATCTTTGCCAACAAATTATTTCAGCCTGAATATTTTATACGGTTTCTAAACAATACAGCTCATTTATGGCTTAATTTTATTTTTGAATCCCATCAAAGACATGACATCACAAGAAGCACCAAAACTGGATATACTGACCACTGTTAAACAAGAGGTAAAAGAGGAGGAAGAAGTCATCGTAGTAAACATACATACACTTGTCAAGTTTTTATAATCCAGATTTCTTAAAAGGACAAAAAAAACTTTACAAATACATCAGATGTTCTGTTTTAAAATTGAACTGATCTTTGCAGCACTACTGAGCAGCTTTCACGAAAGGCCAACTCTGCAGCTTCAGACTTCTGTACAAATAATTGTCCTAAAGCTGCAGGCCATATCAAGCAACAAGTCAGTGTTTTATTCTGGTGGGAGATAGAAGCAGGTTGTTCTCACCTTCAATGAATGAATGAGTGCCCATACTCTGAGCTGCAGGATTTGACTTGTGCAGCTGAACCAAACTGACAGCCATTATAAAAGCATTAGCCTGTCACCCATGATTTATGGACTGGACGGAGATCTTTGAGAAGCATTCTTCACCACATTCACCCTCATAAGCACTCAAAACCAAATGGGAGTTGGATTAGAGTGCCACCAATAGCTCAGTGTAATTGTTGATGCTTGCTGACACAAAACACTTGGACATTTTGTCTTCACCCTTTAGTTCACAGCCTTTCTTCTTTTTCCTAACTTCTGGCCAAACATTTTTTTATTCCCTTGACCAGTGAGTTAGAAACAAAATATTGTTTGAAAAATGACTCCAAATGTTAGTAATGTACAGGCTCAACTTACTCTTGGACCACAGAGAGGAAACTCTCAATGAATGAGACATAAATGTAATAGGTAGTTATCGTAGAAAGAAAGTACACCTTTGTTCAATTTCAGGACACCAGTACAAAATAAAAAGCATTTGTTCTTTACCAGGTTATGAAATTATTTAAATCTAACTTCAAATGTATCTTACCATTGTATATTAAACAGATAAAGCCAAAATAAAAAAAAGCTCTATTTGAAGAAATAAGAACGACTGTTCTTTACATTTCTTTAGTTTCTGCAGCAGTCTGTTAACTCTACTGATTATTTCAAAAAGACCCAAGACGTAAAAGTTACCAGGCCATATTCTATTTTTAAAGCTATGTGATTTGTATGAACAATGACATGAGGTTTTTTTAGGGCCTGGAGTATTGGGATTTGGTCCACACTTCTTTAAAAGTTGGTGACAGTAGTGGTTTATTACGTTGTTTGCCAAACACCATTAAACAGAAGTAGAAGAATAAGGTGAACCAATCACAGTCCCTAGAAGTCAGTATCACACCTAGCAAGAGGTCAACCACACCTAGCAACAAGGTCAACCACACCTAGCAACAAGGTCAACCACACCTAGCAATGAGGTCAACCACACCTAGCAATGAGGTCAACCATATGTAGCAACGAGGCCAACATTGCTAGGTGTGGACAGGAACTGAGTCGATTTCAGCAGCTGACTGAATCCCTCTGAAGCCAAGACTCCTTGGCAGGAATTTTTTAGGTAAAGACAGGAAATCTTCAAGAGGACTCTGAGAATCTTTGTGAATGTGGGTTCAGATCTTTATCAGGATTTAGTATTTATGTACCTTCATTTGTCTTGTAACACCATTACTGTGTCATAATCAGTATTATGTAGTTCTGTTTATGATATTGTGTTGTCCTCTTTTGCCACTCAACATTTCCAAGTCTTTAGGTGATGTTTAATTCTGGATCCTTTTACTGTATAAGGAACAGGAAGTGAGAAGTTGTTGTTACTCCTGCTCTCTTCTTTTGTCTCTGTGTGTTTGTGTGCTCACATTAAGTTGGATTCTATTTTGTGTTTATTGTCATTTCTGATTTTAAGTCTTTGTTTGGCTTCCATTCTGCCTTTCATCCTATTAGATGCCTTCAGTCTATGTCTCTCACTCAGCTGGTCTCACTCTATCCATCAATCTCCCATCTATCTCTTTTTCTACTGATCACCTCTCTATTTCATTATTACTTCCTTCTGCTGTCTCCATGGTCCTGGTTTCTATTCATGTCTTTGTTTCAAGATTTGGTTTACTTTCTTAAATATCTTTATTTTTGTCTTCTACCTCTGCATCCTTCCTGCTTTGAGGCCTGCATGTGAGACAAATTGTGAGTTTTTGTTCCTTCACAGAAAAATCCAGCTAGGAGTAGAACTACTGGGCGCTGAGCTCTACCTGTGATACCTCAGGGTGCTTCAGTTGTTTTTCATTATTTTAGTTGGGCATTTTTGTTATAAAGATTTTTATTTTGTGTTTTGCTAGTAATGTACCAAAGCGACTGTTAAACTAAGTGTGCATTCACACCAGCCCTGTTCAAACTTTAGCTCCTTTGCCTAAGAAAGTTCAGTTGTTTGCTGAGGTGTGAATGTGCAGTCAAAGTTAACAAACTCTGGCTCGCCTACAATACTAGGGGTCAGTTCGGTTGAAGTGAACTCTGACGCGGTTTGAGAGAATGTGTGAATGCCAAATGGACTGGAGACCACTCCAAAAGCAGGAAGCCAACTACAGGGCATTCTGGGTAAATACAACCAAAACAAACATGTGTCTAGCGCTAGCGGGAGGAAAGGTTTGTTGTCCTTTGCCAAAGACAAAACAACCACTAAAATTTGTTTATGTTTATATTTTCTGAAGAAGGTTGGGCTCAGTGTCTTCTCCAGAGGTCTTCGTGTTGTTTTCTTCAGTGGTTTTTGGTGCAGCACCACCACAAGAAACAAATGTTGTGATTTTGATCCCCAATCGAACCAAGTCTTCCGGACTACCAGATGTGAGAGCACCCTAACTGAACCCTAAAAACACTTCAGTACACTACAGCTACTATAGTATCTAAACTTGTCCCAGACCTTGTTAAACAGCTGTTCACTCACTTATTGTACAACTTTTCTTGCAAAAGACGGATTTTAAAAGGTTAGTAACTGTAACACAGGACACTTTACGCTGGCCAAGAATTTACTACCTGGCTCAAACATTATCCCGAGGAAAGGTTTTCTACCAGTTATTGTCTGGAGTTTTTTTACAATAAAAAACACAGGGAACATGTCCTCTCTGTGTGAAATAAATCTCTGCAAACAAGGAGCAGCTTTCAACCAGATCTGGTAGCGATTACTTGTGCCTTGTACGAAACCCAGAAATCTCAGAACACAGAAATCACATTCATCCACATGCTTCACATCATCATGTGATGTGTGCCAGCATTAATGAGACACCGCGCCGGGTCCCTGACAATGTTTCCATTAACAAACCGGCTCAGAGCAGAAAAGTGGGGAATTGCTTTTGCACCCATTACGTCCACAAACTGGACCTGACAAGATGTTGGAGCATTTTCACCGTGCACACTCTCCAGTCATCTGCATTACTTACAGTCAAAACAAACCAACAGCTAACCGCAGCAGGAGCTAATAGCACTTCAGCTCCATGTGTGAAGGAGCGGGGAGCCTGTTTTAGCCCTGATGGATGATGAAATGAGTTGGCAGGCCAACCTTAGTAAGACAGCACAGGTTATAAAAAAACTGAACTAAATAGTCTCTGTGCTTCTATTTGCAACAGCTAGCTTGCATTTGCAGTATTCACCATCCTACTGGACACCATGCTGAAATCCAGAGATGAAGCCTGATGTCAGCAGGAGGTGACGTCTGTGACAGAAAGGCTTTGAGCTGTAAATTATTTTCTACATACCAGCTCATAAGTTCCCTGACAATATTTAATCTTCTTCTGTCAGCTGCATCTTTTAGGGGTCACAGCAGCAGATCTTCTGCTGTCATCTCATCCTGTCCCCTCTGCCATACTAACTGTCCTAAGGTTTAATCCCTTCCAATTAAACCTGAACATCTTCAGCTTTGCTGTTCTTTTTGTGCCACTATCTCCAAATCATATACTACAGCAGGTCTTATTAACATCTAGTAAATCCTCCCACTCTTGCAGTTATTATTCTGTCAAAAATCCGCCAATTATCATACAAATTTCAAACAAAGTTTTGAATGTTGCAAAATAAAAAAAATAGAAAATGCAAATTAGGAGTGCTTCCATTACTGGTCTGAAGCAGAACAACCAGTCTACGCAGATTGAAGGCTCTCACCACCGAACTGGACAGTTCAACTTAGACATTTCTCCAAGTTTCATGTCTCTCATAAGGCACAGACCTACCAGTGGATGGGAAAGTTAAGTACGTCAGACCATATTCAGCAAAGTTCTTCCCTTTAGCACATCAATTTTCTTTGAGGAAAAGCCAAAAACCACCTCAAGTCATAAACTGAGGAAGTTATTTTAAATTTTCTAATGCGTAACTTCAAAATAAGCACAAAAACATTGTTAATGGAAACACAACTTGCACAATCATCTTCACCCCTTATGCATTACTTTTTCCTTTTGGTGACTGACCTCAGGAGGAGCTGGATTTGTCATTGAATGAGATTGTCTGTCTCATCATACTGTCACACCATGGTGACAGTTTTAATTTCTTTTGTGAAAGTTACATACTGCAAGTGTGAATTAACTGAACGTAACTGTGAGCACTTACTTCAGCAGTAAGTTTAACAGTGGGAGACTACAGTGAATTTCTCCATGAGTCAGTAAGTGAAAGTGTTGAAGTTGGTAAAATACTACAGGGAACACACGACATAATAAAGCTTAAATCAAAGAGCAATACTTACTGCTGCTGGATATGATGCTGGATGTATTGGGGCCTGACAAACTGGGGGCCTGCCTTGACAGTTAACTTCATCTGGGCCAAGTTATTAGTGGAGGTGTAGCTGTTCGGTGGCACTTGCTGAGGTATGGGCCTCTGTGGCACCACATTGTTTCCATTGGTGTGACCGTTAGTGTGGCCGTTGGTGGGTTCGCTCCCATGCACCACTGGGCTGGAGTGAGCCGGCACCGGGGTCTGCTCACAGGCCTTCCCCATGGAGCCCGGTTTGCAGACGCAGAGCTGGGGCCTGAGGCACATTCCTCCGTTCTGGCACGGAGGGAAGCAGTTGGCTGCAATACGGAAGGAAACGGAGCAGAAGCAGAGAGAAAAAGAACGAATGAGATTGAGTCAGGATGGTAGGAGATTATCCACCGAAAATTACAAGATACAAAACACTTTCACAATGATTTTATACAATCCATACAAATGGACAGCTTTAGTTCCCGCTGACAAAACCAGTTTGATTTTACATGAAACAAAATAAATGTCTTCATCAAACCTTCTGAAAATGAAGGTACATACAAACAAACCAAATCTATTTATTAATACACTGTTCCTAAATCATGTTGTCCATTTGACTTGCTGTAGCTGTCATAATTTGTAATAATAGTGAGATTCTGGGAGCTCTCCTTCCTATCCATCATGTACTTTCACTGTGTTCTCACTGTTTAATCAATGTGATATGTGCTGTTTTCTTACTTTTTTATACTCTACTCATACATTGGAAAATATACATTAGTCATTTTTAGAACTGCACAATATGATGAATCGCTATATTGCAAGTGTCATGCATTCAGGCCCTGCAGATTTATGATATATCTGGATACTTACGGCCTTAAGTGATTTTTATACTCTCTGTTCTGCTTGTCCCTAAATCTGTGCTGTTCTGAGATCTCTGATTGGTTTTTTCCAGGTGTCTGTTTGAACCACTTCTCCTGTCTGGGGGTCACCCGGCTTTCTCCAGCTCTTAGATGAGCCCTCTGTATTTGGACGCTTTGTCCTGTTCCCTTTCCATGATGTTTCCTACATTTGGGATGGCCACATTCATCATAAACTCATAATTTCTGATGCAGTGCCTGCTGGGTTTGTGTCTGAAAGGATCTCAGAAAGTGAAATAACGCAACTTTTTGATAATATTCTTATTTAATACGAACCGGATTATGCACATCTCTGAAATTGTCCTCATCTACTGATTAATGAAAAGTATAGATCCCACAACTTCAAACCCGCTACAGGAAATCATAACCACTACTACTAACTGATTGTAGCTATGCAGTACCTGTTATGAAATTTTGGGCTTATGTGTGCATCTGTGTGTGTGTGTGTGTCATGAGAGACTAGCATAGAGTCTGTAATTACTAGCAGCTCTACTCTCCCCAGGCAGATTATAGGGGTATCCATTTTTCAACTACAAAGCCAATCTCACCAGACGACATGGCAGACGTTCACACACTGGTTCAACTACACAAAGAAAAGGAGATAAAAGATAGCCGCCTGCACAAACCTCTTACTATTCATTGCAAATGTCTAAAATTCAGTCATTTCCTAACTAAAGCCATCATCCCTGCACTAACCCGGGAGGGATTCAGGAAACCTCCTCACCACACAAAGCATTCAATGAAATGATTTTCATGAAAACTGGAAAACACCCTTTCAAGTCAGCAACCTCAAAAAGGTATGACTCTGTGCTTGAAGTCAGCAGGAGGAATGACTCAGAAAGAGCTTGGCCCTCCTCTCTCTCCCACAGGGGTGTGTCACCCCACACTGGGCTTGTTAGCCTAATTGGTGGCATTGAGATTTGTGAAAATGATTAATGAAGGGAAAACTAAATCGCTGCTGAGAGACATCTGGCGAATTAACAAAGTTACTCCCTCTGCAGTTTGGCTCCTCCTTTTCTGAAGCCTCAGTCTGATCAAAGCTGATAAATGTGTTCCAGGTTTCCCCACAGTCACCCACCACAGGAAGCAGTCCAACCATTGAGACACTCTGGATTTTTGGCATACAGTATCTGTGTGCAAAGTGATAGCTTTACTTTTTTTTTTTTTCAAAAATGAATATGAACTCTAATATGGGCTACAAGCAGGGTGGGAAGTTCCAGCGTAATTAAGCAATGAAACTCCACCCTGGGTTTGTAGCCTGTATGAGGCAATTTCCCACTGAGGAGCAGCAGTGTGTCTAAGTGTGTGTAAGAATACAGCAGTGATAAACCAGAGTACTCTGAGGAGGTCTGGAAGCACAGTTCTTCCTAGCTTTGGTTTGGTTTGCACCAGTCAGTAGTTCAACTATAACTACAGCAATTGCATCCATCCATCCATCAATTTTCAGTACACCGTTGTCCTTAGTGGGGTCGGGAGGGTTGCTGGTGCTTATATCCAGCTAACGTTCCGGGCGAGAGGCGGGGTACACCCTGGACAGGTCACCAGTCCGTTGCAGGGCAACACAGAGACAGATAAACAACCATGCAGACACACACTCACACCTAGGGACAATTTGGAGAAACCAATTAACCTGAGACTCATGTTTGTAGACTGTGGGAGGAAGCCAGAGTACCCGGAGAGAACCCACCATGCACAGGGAGAACATGCAACCTCCATGCAGAAAGACCCCTGGCCGGGAATCAAATCCCAGAACCTTCTTGCTGCAAGGCAACAGTGCTACCAACTGCACCACTTTGCAACCTGCAGTAGCCTACAGTAATTGCAACAAAAAAAGATGTTTAAAAATAGTAAGTAAAGAACAGTATTGCTAAAATAAAATATTTATCATAGACCCTAAATCTTTATTTGTGCAACTGAGTCCAAACAAATGTTTGTCTGTTAAGACAATAATCCATTATTGTTCACAAACAGGCATCCAAATGCGGAAATAACAGTGTGTGAGGCCAACTGGCAGGTGCAGGAATGGTACAACGGGTGTGCACCCCTTTGAGCACATTTCAATGCATCGACTATGAACCTAGCTTAATCATCTTTACTGTTACTGTTACTGGTGTATAAAAAACCCAATCTGAAATAAACAGCTCTTTGCCTGGTGGGAGGGAATGTAAAGCCTGGTGTCCCGCTTATAATACACTGGAGGAAACCCTGTTTGCATCATCTGACACTTTAAGAATCTCTACCCTCTCCAACACTCCCCCGTCACATCATCACAACAAGGCTTCTCCATGCTGTTTACAACCTCTCTTTGGAGTGTGGTAGCTTGGATGACGAGCTCAGCAGATGTGTTTTTCACAAAGCAAGGGAAATAAATATTATGCTTTCCAAAAGTAGAACCCAGTGACAATGTATAGAGAAAATAAATTGAGACCAAGGATGGATCCTTGAGGTACTCCACAACAAATGGTTTCTGAAGAAGAGGAATGTTCTCCCATAGACACAAAACAAAAGACCGGATAAGATCTAAACCACACTAAAACTAAACTTGAGACTGACAGTGTTCTCCAGGCTTGATAAAAGAATTCTGTGATTGACCGTATCAAAGGCAGCGCTTAGGCCTAAAGGAGCTAAAACAACTGAGCGACCTGAGGAGATCATTAAGAACTCTTAGCAGTCCTGGCTCTGTGCTACAGTGGAATTTAAAACCAGACTGAAAATCTTCGCCAACACTATGAGCATTTAAAAAAGTCTGCAGTTGATTAAAAACAGCCTTTTCTAAAATCCTGGACAAAAAAGGTAATTTGGAAATTGGCCTGTAGTTACAAGGAACATTAGGATCAAAATTCAAACATGCTGCACCACAGCATGTTTGAGTGCAGCTGTTACACAGCTGGATAGCAAAAAGTGTTTTAAAATGTGCAAAATTCTCAGACTGGTGATGTGACAGGACTGGCAGCTGTTAGGTGGCACTATCTTGTAATTTGTGCTTGAAGGATTTTAATATTCAATATTTTTTTTTCTTTCATCTTAAATGGAATATATATATATTTTTGTACCGTTTTACCAAGGTTAAAACTATGCAGAGATAGACAAACACTGAAAGGTTTAACATTTAAAGTTCATTTTAGAAGCAGCTGCAGCTCAACAAGAATGTCTGTCTGTGTTTTCAAGACAGTTGGGTTACACCCATCTTTCACAACAGGATTACCTCAAAAATTAAAACTGACCTCACTGCTGTGGATCCCCCACAGCCCCCAATCCACCCTCTGATTTTACATTAATATTTTGAAATAACAGTGCTGTAAATTGTTCCACCTTGGTTGAAGCCTTTCTTCTCCGGCTAATGTAAATATTTTTTCCCACCCACACTCAGGCTGCTGGGCCCAGTCTCTCAGGTCAGCAACATAAAGGCTCAGCTTGGTAGTGATGGGGAAGCAGTATGGACTGGTAATTAGCTTGAGACAGGAAACGCATCAAGCCACTTTTGATGGTTGTTTTAAATGTCATTGCCCTGGTACAACAGCTTGATGTTCTTAAGAACAGAAGGGAAAATTGCTCAGACTTTGGAGCAAATACAACAGCCTGTTTCACCTTGCGTGTGGCGAGGACAGATGTTTGCTGAATTCAAAAGTAGGTAGAAGGGGGAAAGATATGACATCAATGTATGAGGTATTGAATTCCATATTATCTGAGTCACTGCCGGCCCCCAGGAGCTCAGATAGACCCAAAAATAAGAGCGCCTGTTGAGAATTTCTGTGCCTCATTAAAGCTCCGGATGGAGGAAATGCTTATCTTCCCACCAGACAGGAGTGACCTTATAAAAAATAAAAAAAATCTATAAATAAATAAAGCTCTTATTTTGTTAAAGACTGTATCTGATGATGTCAGATAATAACTAAGTGCTTATGAGACAATGGAAACCAGGATTCAGCTAATAGAGTACTATCGTAAGATCACACACAGAAAACACCAAACAATAAAAAGTAGTTGGGTATGCTGTGGTGGTGCAGGGGTTAAGCACAACCCACATAAGGTCCTTTAGTCCTCGATGCAGCTGTCACAGGTTTGATTCCTGACCTGGTGACCTTTGCCGCATGTCTTCCCCCTTCTCTCATTACCCTCTTTCCTGTCAATTCACTATCAAATAAAGGCCACTAGAGTCAATAAACCTTTTTTTTTTTAAAAAGTAGTTTATTTGAAATATAATTACAAAACAGAAGAAAGAGAAGGTTGTGGTTCCTCAGCAAACCTTGAGTCCAAAGCATGAGATGAGTCCCACCAAAGTCTGTTTGGTGCTGTTCCTGCTGGGAGCCTAAACTGGTTGAAAACTGTTTTTGTCAGTGAGTGTACTTTCTGGTCTGGTTTAGATTGATGGTTTTCAATACATTTGTGTTGAAGGATTGGGAGTAACAGTTCTGTTGAATAATAATACAAAAAGAAACTAAAACCCAAATTATCCCAGATAGTCTGACTGAAAAACCTCTGAAAGAAAGAATACTTTTTAATTTTCCTCAACGTCAACAAGACGTTCCAGCCAACCAACGTATGGCTGGAATCCATACATTATTTAGCTTTAAAACAACTGTTTCAGTTCCACCACATACAAATTTTTTTGTCAATGACATGACTAAATTAGGCCAAATTGACAAAGTGCTATTCTCTCATGCAATTCAACTATTTGACGCTGCTTGACTCCCACCAGTATGGAGGAGTCATGGGAATGTTTCCAGATAAGCTTCTGAACCTGATGAGCCACGTGGATCTAAAGCACATGGCTTTATCAGCGATTTTCTTTTCTTTTTGTCACATAGTTTGGAAAAAAAAAATTGAGCTACCTGGATTTCCACTTTCTTCCACTTGAAGAAAAACCAAGTGTAGGTGGAGGGAAGATGTAGGTGATGAAATAAAAATGAAACCAAATCCTAGAACATCACGACTGCGAGCGTTAATGAAGTTAACCGCAGTAATGTTCGCTATGGGGTGGGTATATGCTTTGCTTATCACATTAGGTGCTTCTTACCTCAGTATGTGACCCTAGTATAAACCAAACATCAGCAGCTTTCTTCAGATAAGTTCCACAGAGGTAGTCAAAATTAGATTTAGGCACGTAAAATAAAATCGTAACACAATAAGTTGATTATAAAAGATGCGTGTGATGGCGACAAACATCAATCACTGCAGTTACACACAAAGGTAATGGCTGTGCAGTCGAAAATATCTGCAGGAAAACCCAATAAAACAATTCTATAACTGCAAATCGCTGACTGATGCATTTTTGTTTCCCACATGCACAGTCATGCAGCATCACTTTGCACAAAAGACAATCTCTGTGCTTTCTTGTGCAAATAGGATTAAATAACTGAAGGAATTTAAAAGAACGACAACTTCTGTTGCAGATGTGAACAGACTCAGCGTGGTGTGGTCTTCACATGGTGGTTATCTGTCTTAGAGCTGCACAGTCTCCCAATTACGTTACCACTATCAGTCTGTGTAAGATTAATATCACAAAGACTGGAATATAAATAAAATGTTGACTAAATTATTTCAGTTCTCATAACAGGAGTTTTCAAACTACAGTGGTGTGAAAAAGCGTTTGACCCTTCCTGATTTTCTGTATTTTTGTCAAACGTAAATGTTTCAGTACATGAAACCAATTTAAATATTAGTCACAAATTAAACAAGTAAACACAAAAATGTCGTTTTTAAATGAAGGAGTTAATTATTAAGGGAGAAAAAAAAAACTTGCATGGCTGTGTTAAAAAGGGATTATTCCCGCTGTTAAAACATAACTGTGGTTTATCACATTGAGTTCACCGTCTCTAGCCAGACCCAGGCTGGTGAAATAAGATCCTCAAAATCTAGATATTATGCCAAAATGTAAAGAAATTCAGAAAAAGTGAGAAAGTAACAGACATCTACCAACCTGGAAAGGTTTATGAAGCTATTTCTAAAGCTGTAGGACTGAAGTACAGTGAGAGTCGTTATCCATACATGATGAAAACATGGAACAGTGGAGAAGCTGGTCCACCAAAATTACCCCAAGAGTGCAGCCATGACTCATCTAAGAGGTCACTAAAGACCCCACAACAACACCCAACGGACTGCAGGCCTCACTTAGCTAAGTTAAGGTCAGAGGTCTTACTTTCACTCCAAGACAGAGAGACTGGGCAAAAATGGCCTGTATGGCAGAGTTCCCAGATGAAAGCCTCTGCTGAGCAAAAAGGTCTCAGTTTTTCCAGAACAGATTTTGATGATTCTCAAGAATTTTAGAAAACATTCTGTGGATTGATGAGACGATGGTTGGACTCTTTGGAAGCTGTGTGTCCCGTTACATTTGCCATAAAAACATCCCAACAGTAAAACATGGTGTTGGCAGTGTGATGGTCTGGGGCCGTTTTGGTGCATTGGGACCTTAGAAGACTTCATGTGATAAAGAGAACCATGAATTGTGCTGTCAACCAAAACATCCTGGAGGAGAACGTCCGGCCATCTGCTGGTGATCTCAAGCGGAAAGTAACTTGGCTTCTGCAGCAGCACAACGATGCAGAACACACCAGCAAGTCCACCTCTGAAAATAAGTCTTTGGAGTGGCCTAGACAAAGTCCTAACCTGAATCTTGGCAAGATGCTGTGGTGGCAGAGAAAATGGAGGGATAGGCATGTGGTAAAGGAACCGAGGTCAGAGTGGAACTCAGGACTGAGGTCTGCAGCCTCTGTATACGCCCGCCCTGACCACTGCACCACGCAACATCCCAAAAATTATTTCTTTTTTTAAGTCCTCATTTGCATTAAAATGAGTCAAATTGAGACCTTTTCATATTCCTCGGTTGGCACATAATCCCACACAGCAATGCTGCAAACACCCTGATGCCAGCTCCTGCTGCAGCTCTCCTGAACAACGCTGTCTGGGAATAAAAAACAGTTAGCCCCTGGTGGCAGTTTAACACCTCAGCAACACGGCAGGTACGTCCATGGCATTTATGGAAAATGTAAGCAAAACTGTTGCATGAAGGGATTTTCCCTTTGAGGCAGGCAAACAGCAAAAGCCCAAAGTCAGAAGTTCTTATGGAGGCTGAACTAAGCAGCAGTAGCTGAAAAGCCAAGAAGCACTGGAAACTTGGCGAGCCTTGATGTAGACCAACAGTCTGATGTTTATGAGGAATTTAGAAAGGTCAGTAAATCTCCTGTATCTGCAGCAGAGAAGGATTAAATATGCCGGACAGCAGGGGGTAGGGGGTGATTCTGTTTCGAAGGGGTCACGTGAGGGTACAACACAACTGACAGTCCACATGTGGATGGTCGTGCAACGATCACGGATGATGGTAGCTTTTATACTTTTTTCAGCATAAAAGTTATCACTGGCTTTTATGCCTCCCTTTACTGTCTAGAGTCTCTGCAAGAACAAAAGCATCTCTGACAATTACAATATGCCTCCAATGAGGCTGGTCAGATTAAAAGTACCTTTTACAAAATACCAACATTTAAGCAGTAATAAATGTTTTTTATGAACATTTATTAACAATACTTTTTATTAGTCTGATGTAATATTCTAGTCCTGAATGTCATGTTTTCATAAGCTGTAAGCTGAGAGTCAGAACAGATCAATCTGTGTGGAATTAATCTAATATGTTTCACTTGGGGAACTAAGTTATTGAAATATATGAACTTTTCAATAATTTTCAAATTTATCTAATATGACTGTATATGCCATTTATGTGTGACTGAGCAGTAAATAATGAAGTGAACTAAGTTATTTTGTAGAGTCACATACAATATTATTACATACTTACTTCATTTTTTATTAACAGCGTGTGAGGCGGCTGGGAGCAAGACTGAGACGACAGAAAAAAGCAGCAAAGATTCTTACTTTCCAACATGTTTTTGGCTTATTACAAAGTCTGGCACTTACATGTGAGAATTTAATTCCACCTGACCAACAGCAGATGGTCCTGGCCTGTGAAACCCCGGCAGTTCACATAAACGAACACCGCCTCTTTAGTCAGTGCATTGTGCCAGGAAAGGAGCTCCAGCTGTCAGTTATGATAGAACAATTTATATGATTTACACATAAAAATTCAACTAAGAAGGGTGCTGTAGTGCTAAACTAGCAGTAGATGGGAGCCGCTGAATATACATCAACCAAAAAGGAGCTTAGAGAACTCAACTGCAGCACCTCCAGCAGAGAAGCTGCAGTAAAACTAGTTACTGCCACAGTGTTTTAGGATGGGAAAGGTGGGATCAGGAGGATATGAGGTGTTTGTTTTCCACCAGTCAGTCTTTTGCATGTAAGCCAACAAAGCTGTTCTTGACTGACCAGAGCACATTCTTCCAGCTGGATCTTTTAAATGGTTTCTGGTAAAAAGAACCTCTCATGGCTTCATTTCAATAACATCCTTCTTCTTGCTACTCTTACATAAAGTCCACATTCTCCAACCTAAGCTATGGATTTTTGCAGCTCCTTCAGAAGTCTTTGTAGGGCCACGTGAAATCCATTTTACTTTCTCCCTTTTTCCATTTTTATTATTCTGAATTTAACTTTTTTAATAGACCACATTGTGGGGTTAATAAACCATGTTTATTAATCCCGAGTATGCAGTTAAGGTGTGAACGAAAAACAATTTAACAGATCAGTTGCCAGAGGTCAACATTTATTATTATTCTGTTTCACAAAGCAGATAGCTTTGGTTCAGCAGAACATTAGATGGTTTTACAAAGGTGTTAAAAAGTGTTTCCCCTAATTTTGTTTTAAAGACCTGCAACATCACGTGCAAAACAGAGAATGTAGTTTTAACTCTCTGTTAAAAATGTTTTAGTTTATCTCAACCCCAAACTATTATACAAAACAGCAAAAGGTGGAAGCTTTGCTCGTTTCCATAATGATCAGGATCTTTGATTTTTTTATTTTTTCCATCTGTCAAAGACACCTCCACTGACTTAATGACCATCAGTATTAAAATTTATTTAGAGATGTTGTAAATCATATTCTATGTACATTAAAAACAGCATTTACATACTAATAGGTGATTTAGTGTAGACTTACGTTTGGTGCACCGCTGCGATCCCTGAGTTTTACTCCAGCCGTGACAGCACTGCCCTCCACAGACATTCACCCTGCACACCAAAACAAGCAGAGAAAGTCACACTGCTGCAAACACACAGCAACACCAGCACAGAGGAACATCGGCTCGTTCATGCAGAATTATGGTCATTTGTTCAGCACTTTGTCAACAGCAGCATTGTGTTTTAAGTCCACCGAGAAACTTCACCTCACTGTGCTTGTGTAATCTTTGAGCTTCACAAAGATGTAATTTCAGTTCACCAGTACTGACCTGACTTACACATGACAGGATCGGTTTCTACAGTGTGTTGTTAATGTATTGCATGTTCACGTCTCACTGGATGGTCCTCAGGTCACAAGGCAAGTCGTGAAACAATTTTAGGACTTTAAGTCAGAGAAAGATTGTTACCGGATTCAGTAAGCAGGAACTCTGATGTAACTTTCCATTCAGTAAGTAATTAAAGACACAATGTTAGTGGATGTAAGATGGGGCTGATTTTTAAAGTATATTAAAATAAGCACCGAATTAAAAAAAAAACATAAAATACATAAAACCATGCTGTCGTTTAACTAAGACTATTTTAACATAAAACAAAAAACTGTCATCATGTTGAGAACTAAGCCCCATCATGATTCAGAACTTTTTAGAACCATTAGTGAAACCTTTACCAGCAAGAACTCTCAGTTCTCACCCTGTTGTGAAAGGATTCATTCTCAAAGACGACAGCAGTCACACCTGATCAGAATATGTTCAGAGGAGGATTCACCAGAGACTACCTTCAGATTTTGGGAGTAGAGCAGATGGACTCGACCTCAAGCTCCACTGAACACTTGTGGAATCAGCCTGGCCAGAGTGACCAACAAAAACACAGTAACTGACTTGCAGCAAATGCTTCTTAAAGAACTGAATGGCATCCCACAGCAGTGTGTGACCGTACGGATGAGGTGGGGAAGTAGCAGGCTGCAGTAACTGCGTACGGTTCTCCCGCGCACAACTGTTGATTGTTCTAGTTTCAAGAGAACAAAAATAAAACCAACCAAACAAAAATGGCCTCATTTTTACTTGTTTTATGATCTGACAAGTTGTCAGCAATAAACCTGTCAATGCAAAACACAGCACACATTTTAAGCATGTTTTTATTCTCTGATGAAATGTCAATACGCAGTAAGAAAGTGACACCAAAAAAGACAACCCAGTTAGCAGAGGTACTCTCATTGATTTATCTTACCAAATTTCCTTTTAATTTGGTCTTTTTTTAAAATAAACATCATTGTTCATATCCATGGTCAAATGATAGCTTTTAAATTATCTGTCTTGCCATGTACACTGGAATATTAGATTATTTCATGTGTATTAAATGGGTCTAAATGCAAGGATATAAAGTTAATTTTATGTAAAATCAAGCCCAATGACTTATGCATGTTGCTTCCACTACAGGTTCAACAGGTAAGCTGGACCAGGAGAAGCTGATGAGAACACAGGTGGTCTAGAGCTCTCCACCAAAGATCCTCTCTGGAAGGATGTCTCACACACAACAACACAGACACACCAGAATCCTGACTGTAATCTAATCATATGAAGATCAAATTAGCTGTACCCACCGTCCTAGATTCTGACTTTTGAACTCTCGACATGGTTTAAATAGAAGCCGAGAAGATTGGCTGAAGAAAATTAAGAGTTGTGGCAAGAAAATCTGCGAAGGAAAGGCAACGAGACACACCAGCCCTGTTTAATTGAACTCTAGTTTGTTTGGTTAGAAAGTCAGGTTTGTTTGTGGAGATGTGAATGTATAATCGGATTCTAATGCAGACCAAAAAGTAAACTCTGGCATTCCATTTCTGTTTACATTTTGTGAAGGAGGAAGTTGCGTTCAGTGTCTTCTTCAGGGGTTTTCATGTCACTTAATTAGTTTTTGATCCAGCGCCCCCCTGGGTGAGGTTTTTCAATTAGCTTGGATCGTTTGATATAGAACAGTGTGGAAGAAAGCCGCACCAGCCGAAGATGTAACAAAAGTTGCAATTTTGGTCTTAATCGAACCAAGTCTACCAGACGCCCAGGTGTGAATGTAGCTCAGTACATTCTGCATTCCATTCGAAATGCATAGTTCAAAATATTAAGCAAGTATTACGGTTGTGCCCAGTGTGCCTGTAAACTGAATCGCTTTACCAGGTGGTACCAGTTGCATTTTTTCATGTGAAGTCTTCAGTGAGAGTAAGATGGAGGGAAAAAGCAGCAGCAGGCTGTGTGTGGTCCAGCAGTCTGGTCCCAGCTGCTCAGTCTGCAGTCTGGTAGAATGTTTTAGTGTGTGATAAGTGAGTAAGGTACAGCTGGGAGTTTCTGTCGCCCCCATCGCCAGCAAATGACTCTTGTCGGGGTCATTACCAGCTTCCACGGTGCTGCAGAGACCTGGAGGGGTGTGTTCATGTTGTACCTGTTCAACAGTCTGCTTCCTGTTAATGTGGCGCTGCAGATCCAGGGTTCATGTTGCCTGCTGTTTCCTTGTTAAAAGACTGTTTCTTTTCCTTTTTCCAATTATTTCTGTTGCTTGTGTCACATCTGAATGGACATTCATAAGCTTGGTATGTGATTTTTATTACAACCCTGTTGCAGGTTAGGTATGCTTGGCTGCAGATAAGAATCTAACAGTCTTGAGCTGCTAGATTCTGTCATCAGGGCTGACTGACTGAGGGACACTGAAAGATGTTGGACCAAATTATTGGTTTTTAGTGATGGGCGTCTCCGATAAGGAAAGATTATGCTTCAGCTTAAGCATAATTTAACCAACTGATATACAAGTAGACAAGTAAATTTAAGGATACAGACTGAAGCAATCAAAATGAAACTTACTTTCCTTGAATAAGTTATTGTGGTCATGCTACTGCATTATATGTCACAGTCCTTTTGCTTCAGCTTCCTCAGACCAAACTTCGGGTCAGATTGATTTGTATGAAGGGAATAATAAAGACATCTGTGTAGAGAGGTTTGTTTTTAATCACATTACTATTACTTGAAAGAACTTTTATAGTTGTACTGAATCTACCTCTAAAGCTGCAGCTCAAGTCTAAGCTGACCAACAGAAACTTCAACCTGGGCCTGAACTGTCAACTTTTTTTCTATTTGAAGCTGAGACTAGTTTAAATTGAGCTGAAGTAATCCTTGGTCTATTTTTGTGCTGCATGTTGTGAAAACTTGCACTGTGCCATGTGCTTGCTTTGACATTTGTGTATTTAATGAGACCTCAGTCTATCTAAACGTGATGGGCAATATGGCTGAAAAATGTATCACAATATCGTTTTATATCAGTCAGTATCAATAATCATCAGGTTACTTTTGTTTTGGAATATTGCCAAACTGGGGACATTACCTGTATTACCCCCAAGCTGTTATATTAATTTACTCCATGCCATTGTTTTTTTTAAGCCATTATGAGGAACAATGGCAAGACATGAACCAAGCTACTCAAAAGGTTGTTGCCAGGTTACCAAAGAGGAGTGAGTTAGCTGATGCCACCCACCTAGCTTGGCTGGCCATGAGAGGTTGAGCAGCTAACGCATTTCCTCTGCCTACATCTCCCAGAATGCTGTGTGGTTCTGGATTGGAGTTCAGTAAAACTATTGAACATTGTATCAGACATATCTATTGACATTGATCATGTATTTATTGTAATAGGGATTGTTATTGATGTGTTAACCAGCCATGTTGGTAAGTATAACGAATTACTTTTTTCAGGTCAACAATGTTAAGTACTGGCAGCAAAATGCAAAAACTGTGTTTTCTTGATTAAATGATGAAATTCAAAAGAATGGAGAGTTATGTTTCAAAGGTTCCTTCATTTTTGGCTCAACATCAATTTTATTACAAATTTTAAAAAAAACTAATTATCAAGCTACACATGAAAACTAATTCTAAAGACTGAAATACGAAGCTGAGAAGGAGCAATGCTTTCTTAGACTTTTGGATAATTGTATGTTTTCCACCAGAAAAATGACTCTCTAGATGCATGGTCGCCATAGAGACCGGAGGTGTTCAAAGAAGTCATTGTGCCAGCGTCAGTGTTCCAGTCCAAACACTGGTTCCATTATACTCTGGAAACAGAAACTTTGAATTCTTTAAGCAAAAAATGTTCCGCTTCAAATGTTCAGATCCATTCTTCTTTCATAAATCCAATGGCAGCAACCAGGTGGCGCTTAGCATTTCACCTTTCTGGACTACTTTGAAGAAAACATATAACAGAACTGATCTTTCTGAAAAAGGGCTTCGTGTTTATAAATATATAGAAATCAAAGTGGCAGCACTAGTTTAAATTAGCAGAGTGGTACATACCCACAGCACCACAGCCTGAACCGCAGCCACAGCCAGATGACTGAACCCAGGAGCTGCGGCACAGGCGCACCACCAGCATCTGGACACGGCCTCAGATACTTTATGTTAGCATCTCATCAGCTCTCATTTCCATTTGCCTAGTGTAGCTGTGGATTGGCAAGACTGAAAATACAGATCATGACCGACGTGACAAACCAAACGCTACATAAAAATCACTTTTCAGATTGTTACTAGAGCAGAACTGGGCTGGCCTTGGTTACAGGTGGGTAGAGTGTCAAAAGTTACACTTCCAAACCACAAAAATTTACTACCACAGAGCTCCTATGGTTCCATTAAACCACATATGTGTCACTAAATATGAGATGTCAGAGAAAGTCTGGATGACTGCCCTTCCCCCACACGTTGCTGTGAAGTTAGCTGTCTGAAAGATCAAGCATCTCACATTTTTTTTCCTCTCTCGCAAGAGACAATGTGGATGATTTGAAATCTGTATGGCCACAAAAAGTACAACAAAAAAACACACGCTCTGCAAGCCAGGAGAGGTACGTCTGTCCAGCAGCTGAGGTAGACTGGCTGCCTGAGCAGATAGACCCAGTTATCAACAGTTGGATATCAGCAGGTTATCGTTGTGTTACTCTACCAGAAGCAAAAAGATTAAATAATGTGTAAAGTGAGTATTTAAAAACTACTAATTACTTGGCCTGTCAGAATAACAAATTTTGTTGGAATTGTCCCAGAAGTTACTGCGATAAGCGAAAATACTGCTGTTTTGAGAAGACTTTCAAGTGATATAATTATAATGGCATAATGCAAGGGCACATTCTTAAAGATGAATCGACTTTAAATTCTAATGAACATCTAACGCTGAAACTGGAAGACATTTTAAATATCCAAAATAAGTAAACAAAACAGAAAACAACAAATAAATCTCTATAGACAAAACTCTCCCTGAAAAAAGGGGCAGTTGAGACCGGACTGAAGAGTTTTGTCATCCGATTTTTGGTAGAAACAGAAACAGATTCATAGATTTGTTGTTCATTGCAGCAGGCCCACCAAAAACATCAGTGGCTGTTCATTACCATGTTATTTTAGCAGTGCAGATGTTATAATCTCTGCTCTCCAGTTTAAACAACGTAATTAAATGCATGTTTGAATCTTTTTCTCAAATGGATCATAAAATCATACTGAGACCATCCAGCCCACACAGTAATAAAGTTCCCACCCTGACGGAAGCTGGTTTTGTATTTAAACATCACAAAATAGTTTTGGATAACAGCTTGCTCACACCAGAATCTGATTTACTGTGAGGATTTGAGTATTTCTGTGTGTTTATTTAGGTTTCTGTGTTCTGTGGAGTCTCTGTGTTGTCCCCGCTACCCCTTGATTGAGTACACCTGTTCCTTGTTTCCCCTGATTGTCTCCCTGTGTAAACCCACCTGTGTTCCTTGTTGGGTCCTTGTCAGCTTGTCTTGTTGTCTAGTTGTCTTGCCTTCTGTCAGTTGATTACCAGTTGCTACCAGAGATTAGCTACTAGCTGTGCTCACTCTGTGCTGCCTGCATTTTTCATCATTAAATCTCCATTTACTCTCCATAGCAAAGTCACACAGGCTGAACCACAGGAGAGCTCCATGCAGACTACAGACACGCCGATTGGGATTTTACCAGAAGATACTGATTTAATGTTTTTCTTTAAGGTCTGACCTACAGACTGTTAAAAGAGAATAATACATACTAGCGCTGTGACATTCAAGTCAGGAATTAAATATTATAAAAAACCTTTTAAAGAAAAAAAAAACTGCACGCTCCTTGATTGAGCCAGAAGTTTTGAATCCTACAGAATGTGTACGGATGGCAACATTTATCCCCATTTCATCATTAATTAAAACATGTAAACAAAATGCTAAAAGGTATTTTAAAATTTGGGTGTGATGCTTTTTAGACACACTAGGCATTTGAGGAATTAAAATGAGCAACACTAATATTAAATGGTACTGTAAAAAAAAAATATATATATATATTTATATATATATATATATTTATATATATATATATTTTTTTTTCAGGGAATAAAAGCTTCCCTTAAAGGCATAAGTGCGTTAGATAATGGATTAATGATTTAATATTGCAGAAGAAAGGCTTGGTGTTATTTGGACAGTACAGCAAAGATTTTGCAGTATTTTAAAAACTGTTCATAAACATATTTTGATTCAAGTTCAGTCTTTTTTTTTTTTGTATACCAGCATCAACAAAGTGAACATACTAAGAATAAACAGTCTGTTTCATTTCCTGGTGGAGCTAATAAGCATCATAGCTAAAATTTACACTAATGGTGAATGTAATGTTTACATAATGTCAAGGTAATGTAAGATCTGTTTGACAGGAAAAACATGGCCTTTTTTGATTTGTACAATTCGGACATTAAGGGGTTAATCATCTGTTGATACAATTAAAGGCCAAAGAAGATGGAGATAGAAGATTTAAGTGCTTGAACAGAAATATGATTTATTGGTATTTGACCTGCCGTTCATTCACACAGTGACGGTCGTGCGGTAAGTGTGATCATTAGAGATGGTCTCCTGCGGGGCGCTGAAAAAGCAACTTTTTATTTATATTATGTAGCATGATAGTGGGTGTAATCAGAGAAATGCAGAGTTAACAGTATTGTGGGTTTTTGAAGCTCCTGCTCTGAGTCTGCACAGCTGTTGCCCTGGAGTTTTAGATGCTGTTCCTAACTGTGTGGGTTAAGGTAAAAAGCTGGAAACAAGTGCTGGACTTTCCGTTCAGTTCCTCTTACCCGGACAGCTTCATCAGCTGGTTCTGCTGGTTCTGGTCCTGTAGCTGTGGGGCTGGAGCCGCTGGATTCCCCATCCTGCGGTTCCGAACCTGGCTGCCAAAGCTTCCCGTGAGATCCACATTATAAACCATGGGCTGTCCGGACGGGCCGTGGCGTGTAGAGATGGAGCTGAGGCGCACCCCGCCTTCCCCAGGAGCCGAACCGGGGCCCGACCCCGGCCCAGGCTGCAGCACGTACAGCCTCCTGAAGCCGCTGCGACTCTGCTGCCGCTCCACCGACTCGCAGACAGGGGAGAGGAACAAGCCGACGGAGAAGAGGAGGCCCCATATAACCCAAACCATGTCCACAACTGTCCGGGGAGAGGAGAAGAAGTTAGTCTGAGTCCGGTTCCAACTCCTTTCACTTTAGGCGAGCTGGGAAAACTTGGGTATTCCTCAGTATGTTCAGGTAAGCAGCGATTTCCAGCCAAAGTTACCGTTCCTCCAGGGGCTGGTGGGGGGAGAAAGTGTCTGCTTATTAGAAAAAAAGTTTTAAATGAAGCAGGACATGTACGGCCAGAAGAACCCAGGGCTGTAGAAGCGCCGCCTGTCTTCTTTAAACACGGCCTGACTCGGTTTGCAGTCAGAGAAGCTGAGAGGAGAACTCCAGCAAAGTTCCTCAGTTGGAGGTGAACGGTGTCAGCAGGGGCGCGCGCAGCCTGCCTCCAGACATGACGTCAGGAGGGGGAGCCTACACGCTAACCCCAAGAACGCTTTTTGGGAGTTTCTTAGGGGCCCAGGAGTGTCAGGGGACCCGGACCGAACCAAAAGCCCACACCCACACAGACCGGACCCACCCCATCAAAGCACCTACCCACATGCGTCCATGTCTCTGTAATGTGATACTGACTCCCAGCAAATCAGCGAAAAATAACTGGCGAGTAGGTTTCTTCCCAAAAAACGTCACTGAAAAATGTTCACTGGGTCAAGACTGAGCAGGTACAGACAGACACTTCCAGGTGGTGTTTGCTGTAGTTCCTTTACCTCCCTTTAAATTATTTTCTTTCTAAAACGTTTTATGTGGCAAAGAGTCAACAGCTCAGGTGTCATGCAAATTGCCAACGCTGATATTGTGATAGAAATGTTCAACAGTCCTCGCTCTAATAAACAGTAATATTCCACATACTAGAATAATATTAGAAGTTGAAGTGCAAAAATCTTCAATAATGAATATTATTGAAGACCAAGTATGAAATGAAGCACAGAAACAGGCAAAACAATGGGAATAACAGCGGTGGAAATCAGATTATGTCATGGAAGGAGACAGTGAAGGCCAATGAATCCAGGGAGCTACGTACACACAGAGGCAAGCTGAATAATGACATGGGCAGCAGGTGATAGGAAAGACCTGTAGCAGGTAGCAAAATTCGACAGGATGACAGGAACAGAGGAACGCAGGCCAATGAACATCTTGTTCGGCTTGCATTTCTTTCTTTGCGGTGGGGGAAAGCAATTTCTGGTAAGCTTCATAGCATTGAACTGGTGAGTTCCATACGTCACAGGGAAACATCAGTGATTGGGTAAACCTTAGCAGGGTACACGCCTCCAGGAAGCATTCGTTTCTCAGGACTCCAGATGCTCTGGACGAAGCACATAGCATAGGAGAACAAGGGCCTGGTTTTTATCAGGCTACATTTCGGTACAACTGGTAACCAAATCCCCTGTGGGTTCCATATTGGCTAACTTCTGAAATACTAAAGGAAGCTGATGGATCCAATTTATTGTCAAATTATTTTTGTTTTTCTTTGTTTATTGATTAAAAAAAAGCAAGAAATACAAAACATATTTCATTTCTATGTTTCTAATGTATCTAAAACATGCAGGGCACGCCAAAGTTGCATGTTGATTGTCTAGACGACTAGAACATAGTGAAGGAAGAATCTAGTAGTTAAAATACAGGCACATCTTCAATAGAACAGTCAGGACAGCCATGTTTCCTGGTTGAAAACTGGTCTCATTTGTGCTGACCTCTCACAGTTATCACTGTGATGTCATGTGATCTTATTTAGGCCGCATGAGAAAGTTTTTAAGGAAACAACTTCCTGTTTGCACATTCCTCCATGTTTGCTTCCTGATAGTTCGAAGCATGTTAGGCAGATCTTGGCAGTGGGCCCAGCTGCTGGACGTAGAACCCTGAAGGTTGAGTGTAAGCAGAAGCCAGGACCGACTGGGTCACAGCTTTCTAGGGAAATAAGACAGAGGCAGCACAAGCGCTTTGCCAAGCTAGTGTAGAAAAATACAGCATGCCTCAGAGGAAGACTGCAATCAGATGATGAAATATTTTTCATTTTTAAATGTGGTCAGAGAGTTCATTTTAATGGCTCAGAGACTAAATTCGTTCATAATAACCATGCTGGAGAAAATCATCCTCCAGAAATACGCTCTGGACTTTCTGACAGTTTCCTGCTGACAGTTCTACTGTCTGATGAAATATGGATAAATCCTGCTTACAGCGTGTATTGAAGCTAACTCTTTACACTCTTTACAGAGTCACATGTTTTTTTCAATCTAAATACATACTCAGTTATGTTAAAGATATGCTGACCTGTTTCCATGGAGATAAAGTTTCCTTTTCCCCCACAAACTCACTCTTCTTTTCTTGGAAGATCCAAATGAAAGGGTACAAAAAATCTCCTCTACACATTGCTCTAAAACTTTGAGCCTCGAATCCTCATACTGTACGTCTATGTATGGCATACTAGCGATCATGGATAATTTAAATACAGCATTTTTAATGATATATAAAATACATCATGTCACACCATCTTAGTTCCAGACCAATAGTGATAACATTACAGAGACAACTGGTGATGTGGCTTTAACCATTGGGATGCATCCAAAATAATCTGGATGCAAAAGAGGAATCTTTTTTCAGTTCATCCAGAAAATATTTTTGTAAAGAAAGTGATACCAGAATGTTTTTTTTTTTTTGTGCATTTCTTTCTTCATTTTCTTCTTTAGATTGGAAATATCTTCTTAAACTGAAATTTCTTCTTCACATTTTCTTGGAGCAAAATGAAAAAAGTCTTCCTAATGAACTTGAATGTATTGAAAGACAGGATGTTAGAATAATTTCAAGCTTTAAGTTTCAAACGCTGCTGTTATTTTGAACACAGTTCTACTAATACAGCAAACATTTTATCAGCTGAGGGAGGAATGGGACAAAATTCATCTATAAACAATGGGAGAAGTAGTTGTCTTCCCTCTCTCTCTGCAGGGAAGAGAGAGAGAGATTGTTTGCTTACTGTGGCTCTACGCAGGGGTGAAAGTAGTTTTAAATTCTTGCCAGTGTTTTGACTATCTGTGCTACCTCGTCAGATTTTCCTACCATAGCATGGATCAATAGTTATGTCTATCTGTTGGTGCTACACGTCTAAAACTGCTACCGTCATGTTTACAAACCAAAAACGGCTTACTTTCACCCTTGGCTCTACGTCTTACTGATAACTGAGACATATTGGATGGACTCCTGATGGAAGCAGAATTTTATTTTTTGCAGCCTCATATTTTTTTTCCTTATCTGCCCTCGCTTTATTATTTTTTTTCCTCATCTAAAGAAAGGGCAGCACCTCCCACGATAGCTGCAGCTTGAGGCTCCCGTCTGCCCATGCTATTCCTCTGTCCTTTTTTTGTTCTTTAGATGGTGTTTCTGTACAATGACAATAAAGGCTGATTTGGATTCCTTAAAGCATAGATGATCCGGCACCAACTGGTCTTCCTCCCACTCTCACCCGCTGTACAGAAGGATCTGAGCGTGAGGATGTCTGAAACACTCTGAGGAACATCAAGAATGTTTTGGAGGTACCATGAAGCAGAACAGGCAAAGCTTTGTGTCCTGTTATTGGAGCGCTCCTCTGGACGATGACAGAACCGCAGTAAATCACTCTCACAGGATTTATCCAAGAATAGCCTTCAGGAAATTAAATTATAATAAGGAGATTAGTCACTCGTGCTTTATGAGAGATATAATGTGGCGATGAATGAAATGGCTTGAATTAAGGACTTAATGAACCTTACCTGGATGTCAGTTTGTTGTGCTGAGATCTGCCTTAGTAAATGGCTCAAACTGTCGACTTGAAGCAACATTAAGGATTTATTTGTTGCACGGTTTTTAATTTCCTCATGCTATAATAAGACCTGTTTCGGTTTTGCATAATGGCTTCTTAAATAGCTCTTGTGTAATCTGACCTGAGACAAAAAGCAGTCATCTTTATCAGTCAGCTGCAGTACCGTCTATCTTGGCAGCAGAGGCAGAGGCTCTATGGACTGGGACGTACATGATCCAATAAACAGAGAGATCCAGAGAGCTTCCTCCTGCCAAAGCTTCGGAAGGTGGAAATGGATCTAACTGTGTTGGAACTGCAGAGCTCAGAGAGCAGTCTGACTGCTGGAAGATTATAATAGATTTGACCCATTCCTCCTGACAGAACTGGTTAAGCACCCAAATTTACTTTATGTGCAAAGGTCAATTTGAGATCAGGGGCTTGTGACTTTTCTAACTAATTTGGTTGTATGCCGAGTCACTGCCTCTTTGGAAAACCCTATTGGGTCCAATCTTTACCTTCCAGGTTGAGATGTTGCTTCCATAGTCCAACATAAGTTGCCTTACTACTTGTGACTGTAAACATTCCAGCATCCAAAAATAATGCTGCCACCCCATTACTTCAAAATTATTTTTAGGGCTGTACACTTCCTGCTTGTTCCTTGAAATTTAACATTGGTCATTATGGGCAAACCAAGACAAAAAATTAGGACCTTAAAACTACAATCAGACTTTGTCTTTGCTTGAGAGCAATGGCTTCTTCCTCACCAAGTGACCTTTCAGCTGATGTCAGTCAGGGCATCTTTTCAGTGTGGATAATGACACTCTTGCCAACCTCAGTCAGCATCTTCACAAGGCTTTCTGCTCTTGTGTGTCATCAAAACAAACTTCTCTCTGGGACACAGAACCCAGGGTCTCTCCCAGTGTAATATAAGCCTGCCAATCCACCAGGCTTTACTTGGCCCCCTACCAGGCTAAGTGTTTTATTTTAAGTAGATTTTTTTTTTTTTTTACAAGTAACAGTGACAGTAAAGACAGCTTGATCTAGGTCTATAGTTGACACATTGAACTGGGTGTGAGGCTGTCCCTGCACCTCCCCTTTGGCTTCATATGCTATTATTTACAAATTATGATCTCAACTTGGGCACCTCAGAATTTTTGTAACTTTGAACATTTTTTAACACAAAAACACCAGTGGCAGCTACTGGACTGCCATAGTGTCCCTACCACGGGGCTAAGCAGGTTTTCTGTGGGAAAACCCTGGAGAACCCATCCCAGTGTTCAGGGGGAATGCTGGGGTTGTTTTTTTTAATTTACCAGACCATCTGGTAAATAATAATAATAATAAAAAAAACATAGTTTAGCACCTACAGGTTCTGCAGACAGAAAAACTGGGGAGCTCAACTAGGGAAGGTTGGGGAGATTTTGTACCAAGTATTTAATATTCTGATATTCAGTAAATGAAAAGAAGCCTGGTATCTAAGTTGACCTTTCGTTTGTCAATAACTGGTTTCGACTTCATTATTTGCAGAATGAAGAATGAACACATGAAGCATTTAATTATCAAGTTTACTTCTTGATACCTTAAAACAAGCATTTACATTATATTGTGGACATGAAGGTATAAAAACGTCATGATAAAGATGCAGTTTGCATCACTGGGCCTGGTTCCGCAGCCTCCCACTCAGCTCCTGCAGATCTGAGATAAGCCGTTCCAGAGCAGCAACGCCGTCCCGTAGATCGGCATGGACTTCACCCGTCGCAACATCTGTGTGGATTTGCTGCAAGACCACAATGCAGAAAGCATCAAACATGTACTAGTCTCCTTATTGCATTACAGACAATCAGCTGCATGCTACTGTCATTCCAACCACAGTTACTGAGTTCAGCGTTCACTCCAAACTGTATTAAGTGTCTGCTGACTGCATGAACTCTCAACCAGAAGTGAGGTGTGTGTGTGTGTGTGTGTGTGTGTGTGTGTGTGTGTGTGTGTGTGTGTGTGTGTGTGTGTGTGTGTGTGTGTTCGGTGACCTCAGGAAGTCACCTTGGCTTTGGTGGCTAGACTCCGGAGGCTGAGGCGGCTGGACGACAGCAACTGGAGAGATTCTGCTGGATTCGTCTTCTTCTCACTGCAGCTGATGCTCACTGAGAGACGGAGGCAGAGAGGCAGGGGGAGGTCACAAATGTTACTAATGAAGCCTGTTGCATCTGAATTGGAAATCAGGGCTTGAATACAGTGGGCACAGTCTAACTGGTAGACAGCTTTGCCTGGATGGTATCCATGGGTTACCAGTAGAAGTGGGGACCAGAATATGTATTTGTTACTATTTTGGAGTATTGTAACTTTTGTTCTGAATGTTCTGAAAAGTCACTCAGGTCTTTAGCTGTTTTGAAATTCTGCAGGTTTTTTTGGGGGGGACTTCCTGTAAAATCCAAAGTAGAAATGAAAAAATATTCACACACACATTATTCCATAAGAACGTATGGCTCACATTGTCCCCTCAGAGCCCTTCAGTTTCAGTCTGCAAGTTCACTAGTGACTGCTGGTGTATTGAATGCTACGATGAAAGGCAGATCTTTAAGACTTTAAATCTTAAACTGATTAGGTTTTGTGTTCTGCTGTTGGGCTAAAACTAGGAGGATCCAATCTGAAATTCTTTGCCAAATCTAAAAAAAAAAACATTAATAGTACATAAGCAGATTTATGAATGCAGTATGACAGCATGGAGGCCAGAAGGTCATCATACAGAGAAGAATCAGCTAAAGTAACCACCTACCTGTTAAAATAGGAAGTAAAACAAAAAAGATTGTAACAAAAACAAAAATTATTAATCAAAGGAGTCAGACTACAGACTGAAAATGATATTTGAGCGTTGTGATAATGAGAAGATGCCAGGCTCAAGCTGAGCTTTTAGCAACAAGCCCTCAAAAAAGTCAACTGTTGGAAAAACGAGATGCTGGTGTCCAGGCTGTTAGTCACCAAGGGATCATGGATGAGTTTGAACACGTCAAGTTCCTGCTGTATTATACAGAAGAGGAAGTTATGAAAAGATGTGTATGTGGAAATGAGACATTTTTATTCATTTTTATCCCCAATGTGTGGGATGATTGGGCCAAGAATGGTGTACTGAAGAGTTCATCGGTTACTGCAAGGTTCCCAAATCATTTCCTGTAAATGGTCCCAAAACATCATCCCTCCACCACCATGTTTACCAGCTGGTGTTGCTGCTTTTTCTCCAGACATGGAGCTTCACATTATGGCCCAACATCTCCGTTGTTGTCTCATCATTGCACAAGAAATTGTTTCAGAGGTGCTTCATTCAGATGAAACGTTGCGAGCCTTAGTCATGTTGCCATTTTCTCCCTGATCCTTTCATCTGCATTCTGGCCTTTTGATGAGTGGAAAGTGTGAACAGTGGTGATGTACACACACAGCTGAGTGTGTTCTCACCTTCTCCCATGGTGATTGCTCTTCTGATCACCTCCTTGAAAAGAACAGGGTCCTTCTCCCAGCCGCTAGCTTGAACCTCACAGCGATGAGCTTTGGACAGGAACTGCAGAGCCTGGAGACAAACACAAGCCACGCCCGCTGACCTCACCACACTTTCTTTTTTTAACAAGTTCTCTCTGGCTGACTGGCGCTCAGAATTGTTGTTCGAGTATCAAGGTTGATCCACTTTCACAAGTGGAGTATTACAGCTTTCTATCTCTCTTTATCTCTAATGGTGGGCGATACCAAACTCATGTTGTGCAGAATTGAAAAAAAAAAAAATGGATTGGCACATTCTCACTTGTTGGTACATTCTCACTTGTAGCCCTTTAATTTTAAGATGGACTACAAAGTTTTTATAATGTAATGATAACAAAACAAAAACCAACTATTGACCCAATTATTTAACACAAAGAACAAAGCAACGCTGAGAAAAAAAAAATCCAGCAATGAAATATGTGGAACAAAGCTCCAGCATGAAACCAACCTTGTCGTTGTCGTCTGGGTTTGAGCTGCGGCCGCCACCATACAGCATGGCGTACTGCAGCCATATTTCAGCGTCGCTGCTGTGGCGCGCACTGACACGGCCAAGAAGTTCCTTCAGTTTCGGGGTCAAGGTTCCTGCCTGCGCCCCCTGGCTGTCAGTCAGATTCTCCACAACCGCCCTGACCAGGATCTGAAGAATCTACAAATGGGAAAAAATTTCCTGACTATACAAGCGGACAGAGATTTAAAGAGGAGGGGCAAAAGTAAACAAGGTGGATTAGCATTGCTTGTTAACTACAGATATGACTGTGAAGTGTTTTAATCATGTCTCACTCTTGGATGCAGCTGCTCGGCAGTGGAAACCCATTCCATGAAGCTGTTCTTGAGTTAATCTCAAGGCCACATGAAGTTTGGAGGTCTGTAGTGACCGACTCTGCAGAAAGTTGGCGACCTCTTTACACTATGCACTGCAGTATCCGCTGACCTCACTCCGTCAGTTTACATGGCCTGAAACTTCCTGGATGAGTTGCTGTCATTCCCAAGCATTTCTATTTTCTTATAATACAGCTGACAGTCGACTGTGGAATATTTAGGAGCAAGGAAATTTCACGACTGGAGGTGGAACTCCTGATTTCGATAATTTGGATGGATGAGCAAATACTTTTGGCAATATGTAAGACTGACATTCTGCCAGTGAGCCGGTAACAATCAGTGTCTCAGTCACCTTAAAGTCCTATTAAGAAAGATGGAAATGCTTTCACAAATTTACATATTTAAGCCCAATAATTTAGCAAATAAATGAGGTGCAGAGAACAGATGTTCTGCCACTAATTATGAAGTTAGGTGGGATAATACTGAAGGAATTTCATTTCATTTCACTGGCCATCCTCCCAATTAAGCAGCAATGAAGTTTTACAATGTGAACAACATACTACAGGGAAGGAAATAGATTTATTGAAGGCATTGTTTTGTATTGTGACTGAAACTGAATCTTTCTCTCTGAGTCAACGTATCCAGTTGTCTTATGTACTGAATGTCCAGAACTGCAAACTCTCCAGAAACAGCTTTTTCTGGACAAAAAAAAACAGCTGGAAAACACACAAAACTATTCATATACGCATTTAAAATACTTTCTCGATGCTTAATGTAAACGCAACATGCAGAAATCGACAGGTTTTAAGTGTTTAGGAGGTCAAAGGTCAAACTAACATCCTGGCTCGCTACAGAAAACCGCTGCTTCTGTAGTGTCAAACACAGCAGCAACAGATTTATCTAAAGAGTTTCCTACCAAGACCTACATTATGTTGCTGCTCATACTGCTCCCTTATGAAGTAGAGCTGTAAAGTAAAAGCACTCTCCAAAAACAGCCGTTTCTGAAGAGTTTGGTGACGTATGTCTTGGATTCAACAGTTTCTGGAGAGCAGATGTGAGTTTACAAAGCTGACGGTTCAGGGTTTTGGTGAATGCTCCGTTTTATTTATTAGGACGACACAAAGTTTCCACTTAGAATGCAACCACTGTTACAGGAGTAAGAGAGGCTTCTCCTTCAGCTGCTGTTAATGACTTTGCATCATGTAACCACAGTGCACAAGATTCATTCAGGACAGAACAAACAGCTTTTTGTTCAGACCCAGGTTTAGTCTGATGGCTGTGTCACACAGACAATATGGAGGGGAAGCCAAATCTAACTGCTTAGTTCAGAAATTAAATGTATAACTTTTAAAAACTAATGAGAAATCATTCTTGCTGGGGGATGAAGCTCTTTACCTGGACATCTTTGTAGTTTTCCCTCAGATCCATGAGACGGTGGTACGCCTTGATGGCTTCAGCGAAATCGCCGATGTCAATGCTGACCACAATGAAGTTCTCCCAGATCTGCCAGTGCTCGTAGTTGCATTTCAGGGCCTCTTGCAGGGTTCGAAAGGCTTTGGTTCTGTCAGCCAATGAAAGGAAGCAGAAGAGCCCCGGATTCAACCCAACAGGTTAGGAGAAGCAGTTCAAGAAAATAATCTCTCTCAACTGCCTCTTTTGTCCAAATCATGTAATCAGGATTTTCTTTGTTTTCACATTTTCAGCCTGAAAACTTCAATGGTGTATTGGGGACTTTATGAATAAGAAGAAAAAAAAAGGAGTGCTGAACTTCCACCAAAAAATCTTAGGTAACCGTAAATCACGACAAATCTTTCAAAATACACAATTTAAAAGGTTTATAGAGGTTGAAGAGAATCCAGAGAGGATCTTTAAGGTTCTGTTCTGTTTCAGGGAAAACATTCCATCGTGTTCCTTGCTTGACGGTTGTTGTGAACTTCAGTTTGAAACCTACGTTTTCTATTACGACGCATTAGTGCCATTGTAGGCAGAAACAAACAAAAAAAAAAATAAAAAATAGGAGTACATTTTCTAGAGAAAAATTTGGAAGTTTCCAATGTCAAAACTTTTCAAAAACATCTGAGATTGATCTCAAAATTTCCCAAACCTTTTTTTTTTTTTTTTTTTGACAGAAAGCCTTTTAAGATGGTGTATTTTGAAAGATTTGCTGTGATGTACTGTTACCTAACAATGTGACCACAAAAAAAAAACGTCTCCTCATCATTCCACACAAGATGTCGAACAACAGCTGGTCAAAGCAAACATCTGAGGTGAGGTCAGAGTGTGTCTGACGCTGCCGAGTTGGAATTTCAACACAATGATGTCAGAAGTTTAGAGAAAAGCTGCCAGATGAACTCTACCTCCGCCGGTCATTTGCCGAAGGGACAGCTGCAGCTTCGCTTGCATTCCAAAAAAGTCTCAAACCTATATGTATGTGTGTGTGTGTGTGTGTGTATATATATATATATATATATATATATATATATATATATATATATATACACACACACTGTACGTATATGATGATGATGATATTTTATTTTTTATTTTGCTTTATTTGAAGTTTGATCGGTTCTGAGCCGTTAAACCCGTTTACTGGATTGCCACACAGAGACTGACCTGAACATGAGTCCACTGCTCTGGTGTCCAGTGGTGAGGAGTTTCACACTGATACAAGGTTTGAACATTTGGCTTCTTGACCATATAAACCTTCCCATAATGCTCCACTGGGGCTGTTGTGGAGATAATCTGAATTGATTTGGTTCATTCGACCTGTTCATTTCTTAAACTGTAATCGAACTGAAACAATCGGAGTTTGATGCCGTTTAATGTCATTTTCAACAATAATATCACAATGTCATATTTTCCTACTATTGTGCAGCTTTACCTGAATGTGACCTTTGAGTTGATACCTTTTGCTAACAAGTAATCCAAGCCTGCCGCCGTATTCTACATTGTTTTTATTTCCATCTCCTATTATTCTACTTGTGTGAACCCATCTTTGTGCGTAGCTGTTTTATACAATATATGCTTTTTATGGGATTTTCTTCCACATCGCTCTGTGCTGCAGCAGCAATGCATACATTCCTCCTGGGGAACAAAGGATCATTCCATCCTATTCTCTTGCCTGCCACCTGAATATCACTGATGCTCCTATGAATACTAACAAGTTCAAACATGTCTTGCCTGGGCAGACATATTCAGCAGCTCCCAGACTCATACTCACTTCATCTGGAGGCGGATGTAGGCTGTGGAAAGGTTGTTCCATGCCTCTGCATTCTGAAAGAGGGGTGAGTGAGCAGGGAGGGGGGGAAGAGAAAAGAAACATTAAAGATGGTTTGAGGGCAAGGCAGAACCATTTCCTATCCAGAACATGAATTTTGAAACTGGGGCCTTTGAGATTCTCAAAGGACGTTGGAAAAATGAAGTGGAGGGAATTAAACCAGGAAGCAGCACTGGTGAAAACGTACGCTGTGATCCGTTCACCTCTTAAACTACAACATACTGATAGCAAATGACGTCACTGCTGCCCGGACGTTCAAACAGAATGGTGACATCTGAAGAGCGTGCAACACTGGGAAATAATCGTGTCCTGGGAGCATCATTTCAATATCCTTTGACACAGAAGTACAGTGTGGATTGTACTTGTGAAGTTGGCCCCTCCCTCTCTATTCTCTGGCTCAGATCTAGCAGCTGTACAGACCAATGTGATTAATTTTTGATAAAAACAGATATGGGCAATTTCAAGGCATTTCTGATGAGGGAATAACATAACGTGATGTAAAACTTAAAAAAGCAGATTTTACGTAATACTTCTTGTTGAACGTTGTGTGTCTGTTAGTAGTTATGATTTTTACATGTATACAATCACTTTTTTTATTTAGTGTATTTGTAGTTGGTAAATGCTTGTTCTGCTGGCTGTAACACTAACTACACCCTGGTGATATTAAAGACACCTTGAACCTTGAACCCAGATATCAGCTCCACTGTGGCAGCTGATTAGAGCATCAGGCTGGGCTGAAGGACTTAGAAGCTCAATCACACACAGGAAGATAGCCCTGGGACGGACCAGGCCTGGAGCCAGGAAACCAACAGGTCATGATCAGTGTGCGATGTTTATACACTTACATCTGGCTCCAGCCCCACACACCTCTGGAAGGCTCTTGCTGCTCCCTCATAGCCCTCCAGAGCGAAGTAGGCACAGCCGAGGGAAAACCACACGCCAAGCTGCAAGAGGAGGGAGAACCGGAAATCAGAGCCAGTCTGAGCGTCAAGAGTAACAGAGTAATTTTACTGGACAATAAATTGTCCCAGAAGTTATTGCGATAAAAAATAACATTGTTGCTTTGACACAATTTTCAAGCACCATAATGGTAATGGCATGATAATGCAAGAACACACTGCCCAAGATGAATGAACTTTAATTTTAGTGAACATTTAATACTGGAAGTGAAAGGCATTCTGAATATTCAAAATAAACAACAGAAAAAAAAAACATATAAAATTAATTAGATCTGTGTAAACAAAATTGACCTTAAAAAAAAAAAAAAAGGGGCCAGTAAAGCCAAAACACCAGATTGAAGACTCTTATCACCCAGTTTATGGTTGAAAGAGAAAAACGATAAATTTTGCAAATGAAAATTATTGAACTCGTTTTAATTTATCATGCGATTAATTGATGTATCGTTTATTGTGACAGGCCTCAACTGCATATGGAACAAAGTGAGAAATCTCTCCGATTACCTGCATGGTGTTGATTTTCAGCGACTGCTCAAAGCAGTCCACACACTGCTGGAAGTCCTTGGCCCGGAGGTGCAGCAGAGCCTTGGAGCGCATGGCTCTGGCGCTCCTCCGTCCAGACAGCTCCCACGCCCGGTCGTAGTACTGATGCTCGTTCAGGATGTCTCCAAGCAAACAGTACAGACTCGGAGTCTCCTTCTTCTCCAGCTCTCTGCGCACAATCTCCTCAGCCTGAGCAAATGGTGAGACGAGAAATACAACATGGCAAACCGGAGAACAGTGGCTGGTCTGCAAGGTTAAAGAACCAGCACATAAAAAAAGAGCTTTTATCTGAAGAACATCCAGCATAGATACAGTGAAAGAGCAAAACTAATGATAAAATAGATGTTTTCCTGCATCAGCCCCTCTGTTTATTGTGATTTTTTTTGCAACCAAAATCAATAATTTCGTGAAGCCACTTTAGGATATTTCCTAGGAATTTTGTAATGCTTTTTTTTTTTTCGTCACTAAACCCTTTCTCAAATTTACGCATAAAGGAGAAGATGCGAATAAAACAGTTCTAAGAACATAAGTAGCTCGATTTTGTCACTCGTAGATTAAACATTTGACATCAAGTAAGACTGAGGGAGCTGGATGAAGAAAACTAAGAAATATTGCCACCTGCAGGTGGGAGTTAGCAGTCACGTCAATATTTTTGACCAATTTTTGCGGGAAATTTGCAATGAACTCACAATTATGCATTAACACAGAAAAAAAAATGTGGGATCTGCTGATTTATATGAATTTCCACCATCATGGAATTGCTAAGAACTGGAGGGACTGCGCTATGGAAAACAGTTATGAGTTTAATGACTAAAGTCTTTGTATGGTAAGCTGGTTTATAATCCCTTGCTCCAAGATTTCAGACATCTAATGTCCTTAGACCTTTGAGATAAATATTTTCAGAAAAAAAAAAACATCCAACTTGTTATTGGGAAGTACTGGGAAGTCTTCTTAATAGTTTCTTCCCCTTCATTGTACTGGTATCAGCTCGTTGCTTTTATTGCTGGTTTCTGGTCTATCACTAATTTGTTTTATGAAGTTGACTTGCTTGTAAAAATCTTTTCAACAACCATGTTTACAGAGACCACCTCTGATTAGAATACCCAGTCAGTCAAGTTGTCCTCAAAGCTCATCTGCTGTAATCTGAAACTTTCAATTTCATTTTTTTCTTAAAGTCTGAATTAAAGTGTTGGAAACATGGGAGAGAGGGCAGCTTTATCTGAGGCTGATCATCAACCAGAGGGCTTTAGCACCAGGGTGCTCTGAAGAAAACTTATCAGAGGTCCGGCATCAATGATGAATGGCCGTGCTGCACAAATATCTGTTAATACCGCAAAGAAAACAGGAGGAGAGGAGGTGAAGGAGGAGGAGTCCCACAGACAGAAACATGACATGACTGCAGTCCATTCACAAAGGTCATTCTGTTCCCTGGAGTAGATCCAAACCTCGATCCAATACACAGAGAGCTGGAGGAAGATACACACCGCTGAGCAGCGCTCAACATTTCTATTGTCCAGGAACATTACTGCTCGCTACCATGTGTCTGAGTGAAAGAAGAGGACAGCAGTGGAAACAGGAGAAGCAACATTGGATGGAGACCAAACCACTCCAGACAAATGGATTACCTTGTTGCTTTGGAGCGGAGTCAGAGCATAACAGACTATTGGCTGGGACCACCACAGCCAGGGCAAAGGGGGGGAAAGGAGACTTTCATTATGAGCCAGAGGCAAGCAGGGTAATCTAATTGGAGAGACAAGGGATGATGTAATTAAATAAAAAGAGCTGGCAGAAAGCCCAGATGGCACCAAGAGCTCCGGACCTGAGGAGTCGGAGCGAGGCCAGGGATCAGAATCAGCACTTACGTCACGTCTGCACATCTGCACTCTGAGCCTGCGTCCGACAGACAGAGCACTTCCACCACAAGCTGACAACAGCCTCATGGTCGTGTTTTTCATTTAGGTAGATGTGGAAATAAAAGCCTGAATCTTTATAGAGGCCAGGCATCAGAGCAGAGTTCAGGTTGGTCTCGTATCTTCCGGTCAGAGTGATGAGTACTTTGAGCTCTGCTTTAAAAACAACAGAACAGCTGGAACAGCTTGAGACGAGTCTGACCTGAACACCTGGCACTTCAAACAGAAGATCTGTGGGAAAAGTCATCACCTGTTTGTTGAGGTTTGTTTTTTTTAAATCCAACAAAAATGAATGTGGATTTAAAAGAAAAAGAAAACCCAAAGACAAAATGGTGACGTGATTAAATAATACCGGAAGAACTTCTGAGTAAGGACGTCATTTTGAATTTCTAAAAACATCCAGAGAAATATGGGCCAGGGGCAGATCCTAGGGGCAGATCCTAGGGGCAGATCCTAGGGGCAGATCCCAAACAACACCACCTGCACCGAGCTGGAAGACCTGATGGGGGTTTCCAGATAAGGACCATAACACAGAATATACAATATAAAAGAACACACAAATGAAGAACAGAATAGGTCTTCATAAGGCAAATAACAATAACAAAAAAAATCACAGTATGGCCAAAAAAATCACCACCTGGATTTAACTAACTAATATCCAGCACAGTAACAAGCCTCCGATTGGAAAATCACTGGCGGTAAGTTATTTGTAAGTTATTTATACAATGAGTAGCTTCTTATTTCTTATACAACCCTGTAGAAAGACACATCCAGTTGTCATGGAGAGTCTGTTGGTCAGATAAATATCTAAGGAGAAGCAGGAAGTAAACGAAAAATGTTAAGAAATATCCAGCACATTATTAGAAACTGGAAGGAAAAGGGCAGGCCTGTATCTTCCAGATCAGACGGCACATTAAGTTGTCTGACTTCTTGGCCCGGTGCGTCGCTGAAAGCAGTAGGGTCAGGGAGAGGAGCGGTCCCATCGGGACAAAGTGTTGGGTATTAAACGCTCTCTGGGCTCCACCAGCGACGACGCAGCGACAGCTCCCCAAGCGGGCAGACGTCCAGCTGGGTGTGATCTGATTGGACAGGCTGCACTAATCTCTCTCAGCACAAAGACTGAGCTGCCTGGGATCTGACCCATGTTACAGCAGTTCATCTGGCTTCAAGCAGGAACAAGATTTTTTTTTTTTTTTTTAATTCAATGTTCCGAAACAGAAGATTATGCATGAGGTGTAGCTAAAAACGAAATATAGCTGAGACTCCATATTTACATACGGTCTTTAAAAAGACGCTCATCATCTAACATTGAATTAGACTAAGTCTTTCCTGTTTCAGACTGGTTAGGATCAGTCTGGATTTTTTTTTTTTTTTACAGATTTTTCTAAAGTTTTCTAAAGTATATGCATTCCCACAAACTTCTCACAATGGTTTGCTAAAACATTCCTCCATACAGGACTGGTGTCAGGTTCTCTCTAACACACACCTTTTCAGCTCTGCTCACAAATCTTCTACGGCTTTAAGATCAGGGCTTTGTGATGATGGTCACTTCAAAAATATTGATTAAGCCGATTTCTGTTAGAGTCGGTCTCCATGTAGAAAGCCCAGCTGTAGCCCAGCTTTAATTGCCGGTGTACTGCGATGTTGTTTTAAAGCTTCCACATGACAGAGACGACACCTGTGATGTCATCTCTCTTACTAGGTCTACCAGTTCATCCTGCACCAAAAGTAACCACAAAAAGCCATGATGCTGCCACCGCCGTACCGCCCTGTTGGGACTGTGTTCTCTGGGCTTTTTAATCCAAATGTAGCAACAATCACTTGACATTGGCTTTTAATCCTATTATGCTAGTTTTTTTTGTAGCATAGTCATATTATTTTTAGTTTCACTGTCTGTGTGGATATCCACTTCCCCACTGTGGGACGATAAAGCATATTCTATTCTAATACGTCTCCCCTGAAGGGCAGATTTTTAAACACTCCTGAAGTCATTTTGAAAGTAAATGAAGTTGTTCAGGTTGAGAGACGAAGATACTTTTTGAGTGCGTGTGCATGTGTGTGTGTGTGTGTGTGTACCAGGCTTTTATATCCTTATGAGAACCTATTTCTGTCTACAATGTGGGGGTGTGGGGACCATTGTTCCTTGTGGGGACATTTTCTTGATTCCCTAAAGGGAAATGTTGTTTTTGGGTTAGGGGTTAGATCTGTGATGGTTAGAACATGGTTAGAAAATGAATGGAAGTCGATATGAAATCCTCACAAGTCATGAAAACACAACTGCATATGTGTGTGTGTGTGTGTGTGTGTGTGTGTGTGTGCGCGCGCGTGTGTGTGCGCGTACCTTTCCGTGCTGGCCCAGCTTCTCGTAGCAGACCACGGCGTCCTCCCACAGCTGCAGCTGCTGGTAGAGCAGCAGAGCTGAGCTGATGCAGCCCAGGTCTATCAGCAGGCTGGCCAGCAGCTTCTGCAGAGCAGAACCAGCGTCACTCCACTCATTAACCTCTACTCCTCTCACCATCAACAGAAAGCAGCAGTCATCCTGATCTTTTACCAACTTATCAGCAGTAATAACACATCCTATGTTAAATGCACAGAACCATGATATAGGAACGCCAAGCGGTACAGAAATGAATGATGTTCTCCTCTCAGCCATAAAAAGGCCTTTAGTGCTTTGTTCCACGCCTGCTGCAGCTGATTGCTGCACTGCTCCCCCTCAGCCTCTGTCAGGTCCCCAAACACCGATGCACACTCTTCCATTCCAGCTTTATTGCTGGATCAGTTATTACATGCTGCCAGTTGCTGCCTCCTCCCCTCCCCACATCCTCCCCTTCCTTTTTTAATCTCCTCGACACGTCTTATTCTATCTATCACAGATTCTGCTTACTACTCTTATTTTACTTGCTTCCTTTATTCTGAGCAATGTAAAATTCCTCTTCGTAGCTCTGCTGCTACGTTAAGGTTCAACAAATCTCTCTTTAGACTTCACGTGTGCAGCAGAGCTTCCTCGCCGTCTGTTAGGGGTTGTTTTATAGGGTTCCACTGTAAGAACAGAAAACTCACTGAAAACAAGCTTTGGCTATGAGAACCAGAACTGTTTTCCACAGAACGCTCACTGAAGCCCGCTGCCAAAACAGGGCCAGACACTGAGACGTAGAGATGTGAATCTTTCAGAGTCTAGCGATTCGGTTCCAATTGTTAGTCAATTCAGAAACTCAGAAATCAATTTACCTGTTCAAACGCTCTAGAGATTCTGCTTCAATTATGTGATAACAGGAAAAGACAGTGTAGACAAATATACTGATTCCATAAGGTGCATCAAATACCATCAGATAATTTTTAAACAAAACTAGCTTTCTGCATATAAATCTGTAACTTAAATTACCTGCGTTGGGTTAGCTTAGCTACCTGGCTTTTTCTTAAATAAAAAAAATATCTCTTGTCTCTGTGGGCGAGAGACAGTGGCTAAGCGGATGCATAATGTGATACTCATAAACACGAGCGGCAAAGATGAACAACTTAAACTGATTTTAAAATGGATTTTTGAGAATTTTGAATCGATTCGGAATACCCAGAAATGGGAAGTGCAATTCTTTGTAGAATACATTTTTTTCTGCACCTCTACCGAGGTAATTCCTCCCACTGCAAAGGTATTTGACCACATGTGGAGTTCCCACTCTGTCCATGGTGTACAGAATCAGCCAATGATTCTGTCACAGTTATAATGCTTTATAACTGACAGAGTTGCTATGAAGTCCTTGGAAAGGAAGGGATGGCTGTAACTTTTGAGAGAGACTCATGTTTTCTACTGCTTTAAGGTTAAAGAGAGGAAAAGACATTGTTGACGCCGCAATTCAACGTTGAATTGAGTTACGCTCACTTCAAAGTCAGAGGCATCTCACAACAATCAGGAGCAGGAGCACAAACTTCATACAGCAGCACAGAACAAACAGCGTAAAACATTAGTTATTCTGAAGGACTTAGTCCCACCATGTCAACAGCTAAGACATTAGAAATGTTATGTTTTTTTGTAATTTCTAATTGCACTTTAATTATGCGTTTTTCAATTTGTTGAAGTAGTTTGCGCCTCAGGGCCACCGTAGTTTGTAGCTGGTAAAAGCAGCGTACACACACACACACACACACACACACACACACACACACACACACGCACACGCACACGCACACGCCCGCACGCACACACAAACAAAAACTAGTCTGGTTCCTGGAAAATGTTCCTCTTGATCATTTTAGGCTGCTCCAACTCCCGTCCTGGACAGCTGCTGGCCTGCAACTTTCAGAGGCATCCTCTCGCCAACACACCTGAACCAAACGGCCGAGTTTTGGTTCAGCCGTTTGGTTGAACCAAAACTCGGTTCAACCAAACCATAGTTTCTTCCAACCAAGTTGGAAGAAAATATATATTTTCTTTCATCACAAAGAAAATATATATTATCTTTGTGATGATACAGAACTCTACTGTATCTTCAGCTCTACAGAGGCCTGTCAACCAACCAGTCATCTGATTCAGGTGTGTGCAGGCAGGACAGCAGCTTCTGAGGACTGGAGTTGGAGACCCCTGCTCTAGTGGAAACACACCTAAAGATGACAGAGGGAATGATGAAGTAACAGAACAATGAAAGCCATGAAGTGTGAGTTGAGCTGTTGTACATGCCGTGTGTGTGTGTGTGTGTGTGTGTGTGATACCTGGACGGCCCATCTGGGCGGTACTTGGCAGCAGTAGAACACTTTGAGGCGCTCGCTCACAGGACAGCTCTGGTCTTCAAAATGATCGACTATTGCCTGCAAGAGAGAAGAGTGAAAATGTTCTTCAGGGAACTGGCAGTGTTAGATTTACCCTGCTACAGTTACAGTTTGAAACGGCAGTTTATTGATTAAAGAGGTGATTGAAGCAGATTGAGAACCAATGAACTTGGAACCCTCACTGCAAATGCCGGCAGAGAACACACTGCAGTTGGCTGCCAAGTATCGACGGGTTTCAGGGTCATTAGGTACTAAATGGGTGATGATCGGGAGAATCCACAGAGAAAACAGAAAGAACAGTGACAACTCTTTCAGACTGCAGCTGTTAAGAAGCTTCCATCTCATCTTTTAGCACTTCATGCCTTGGAAATGTGTTATATTTTTATAGATTAAATATCTGCTTGATCCATAAACTGCCTCACTAAAGGTTTCTGAGAACACGTGCGTTCTTCCTTATGACACGCGTCAATATCGGGGAATCTTAAGCACAATCATTTTGACCTTTTTGCCAATCTTCCCAGAAATGGATGCTCATCAACTCCCAGAGCCTTACCATCTACCAGGGATGTGATGTATGAACTTAATCATTTATTATATTTTTGAGACATTGCTAAAAAGGATAACCATTTTAAAATGCTCTACTTGCCAATACGTTTGTCACTCCGTGCATGTTATTGAGGCCATCAGTTGTTGACTGCACAGTCAAGAATTCTACAGCCATCACAAAGTTTACCATTTTGAAACATCTGAAACTGTTATTTAAACACGAGGTGATTTCTTCATGACTTCAACTGGTATATTTTGCAAAAAAATAAAATTAAAATTAAAAAAAAAAAAATCATAAAATTGTTATTTTCTCAGGAATGGGTTTTTCTTTCTTTTTCTCAATTTGCACCCTGATGACTTGTTCCTGTTTTTGGTGGCCAATTACATTTTTTCAATATGGTGAAGACTTGGAGTTTGACTGCACCTTCTGGTCCTCAAAACCACTTCTCCATACCAACATTTTATAGATTCAGGTACAAAGGCCAAATCTGAAGCTTTGCAGAAATTAGAACATGCAAACAGTCAAGCAGTGGATTCAAGAGTTGGTAGTAGGCCAGGATTCCTCCACAATGATGTAAAAATTCAAAAAATAAAAAAAGTCAACAACACTGCCTACAACCACTTATTGATCCCATAGGGAAATTAAATAATCAATAGTTAATTTCTGCTTAGGTGTCAGATTACAAGAACCTCTGATCCACCCAACATGAGGGAGACGGTATGCAACCTTTGACCTGACAGATATGGACAGCAGTGTTGGGCTGCTGCTTCAGAAGTTATTTATTTCATTCATTCAGTTTAAAAGTTTTGAATGAAAAGGAGTGGTTTGAAGAAGAAATCTTGTAGTTTACCCCTTCTTTCAAAAGTCAATTCAGTGTACCATAAACAATGAAGCATAACTCAACAATCTATAAAAACACATCTGGTAACACTTTATTTGAAGGGGGTTGAATAAGACTGACATGACACTTTCATAAACATGACATAACACCTGTCATGAACATGAATAAGCCTTCATGAATATTTATGACTGTTGTCATAAAGCATCATTGGTAAATTATGACACTTTTAATACAAAGTTGACATTATTCAAAATGTCTTGGTTAATGTCAAGTTGTCATAACAAAGAAATCATTACTTTACCTTTAATAACATAAAGTTACCTAATTTTTAAAGTGCAATCAGTAATACTTTTATAACAAATTTATATCAGTAATGATTTCTTGGTTAATGTCAAGTTGTCATAACAAAGACATTTTGAATAATGTCAACTTTGTATTAAAAGTGTCATAATATACCGAATGACACTTTATGACAACAGTCATAAATATTCATGAAGGCTTATTCATGTTTATGACAGTGTCAGTCAGTCTTATTCAACCCCCTTCAAATACAGTGTTACCACACATCTTTACACAACCAAATGTATATACATAAAAATAACAGAGAGAAGGAAAAAAAGAAAAAAATATATATTATCTTTGTGATGATACAGAACTGTACTGGTATACTTCATTATACCCTTAATATTACACTTTATTATTTTCTAAAAACTAAAATTTTATACAAAGAAGGTAAATGATGAACTTGCAGCTGCTCGGCTATAAATGAGCAGGAGAGATGAGTGGTGAGAAGAAAGCACTAAGATGTGAAGCAGCTTTGGGCAAACACCTAGAAATAGAAAGCAACATGATCACTGTACGCTGACAGAGCAATCACAACAAACAGAAGTGGCTTTGTTACCAATGCACTTCAACTCGGAGAAGACACAATGAGTTGGGGAAAACCATAAAGTTGGAAGAAAGTGTGTTTCATGTAAACCTGCAACTTTTCTGGGAAACGGCACAGAAAACAGCAGAGCTAATCAAAGGTTTTACTGCTTCCACCTGCTCTGTGCAGCACCAAGCCTCAGACCGGACAGCTCTGAGAAACAACCAAAACCAATCTGGGCTTCATTTGGTCCCACTTGGAGCACCGTAGCTGTAGTCCTCAGCTACAGTCACCGTGCTAGCCTAATAAATCCTTCAGCAGGTTTTTCATAATCCCATCCCACGTCTGCGCTCGCTATTTCTGGGATGTTATTGATCAACATCGAAAATAACATTTGGAGCTGTGGGGGATTAATGGTTTTGTTTGTGTGCAGGGTTGTTCGGAAAGAAGGAGCAAGGTTACTCAATTACTCATCGGCACTGCGAGCCGAGCGAAGCTCTGTAACGCCGTCAGTAGCTTTCTGAAGCAGACACACATGTACACACCACCACACTCAGGAAAACAGATGTCCAAGGAGCAGCATTTGATTGAAATGCACCGCTTGTACATGGAGCATAGTTTTTTTTTCTTCTATTCTGTTTTTCTGCTGAATATAACATATATATATGTGTGTGTGTGTGTGTGTGTGTGTGTGCGTGCGCGTGTGTGTGTGTATGCAAAAAGTACGCTGCACACTCATCGTGAGCTCCAGGTTTGAACTCATAATGAAGGTGAAGAGGACTTTCTTGTACTGCGCATGAAAAATGATAGAAAAAAGGACTGAAAGAACTGATGTATGAATCAGCAGATTGCTGCCATCAGGGTGTTTCACTGTGCTAAAGAACCAACCCTGATCTATCTCTTTCTCTTGCATTGAATCGTTCTGCTGGCCCATGATGACTTCTGATGATCAATCTCATCCAGATGCTGGTAGTAAATGACAATCAGTTGCTGAAGGACTTTACAGACATCAGCCGTCATCATTAGCCTGAGCAGAGATCTGGTTTGTGTGCCAGGAATTAACGCTGAAAGTTGGCTTTTGGTAACTGAATCGGCCAGGATGGGTTGGGTAGTAAGTCCTAGTTTGGACAAAGCATAAAATATTAAATATTAATGCTGTGTTCAGACTGAATGCATCTAATGTCTCAAGTTGACGCTTGTATACTTTGAAGTCAGACACTTCATAATCGAGAGTCATATTGAAATCTTTGCTCTAGACGCGGGAACGAGCAAAGTGTGGAAAGATGCATGTGGGTTGTTTTCCTCTGCTGGTGTCTTTGTATAATGGCGGATGAAATTGAGCAAGTGGCTTTGCTTAATTTACTGAAAGAAAGAGAACGTTGTCGGGCGCCTCAGAGCTGTATGGATTCACCAGATAATTCAGAGAGTTCTGAGTTTGGTGAGCTTCACCACCCACAGAAGCAGCACACTGATGAGGATCGCTTTCAGCTCTATTTTCATCTCCTCCAAGCCCAGTTTGTCGACGTGGTGCCCATGTGTCCTGCCAGGATATATATTACAGGCCACTATGTTACACAGTGGACTCTCTCTGATTGGTTGATGTTCCACGTCCAGCTGCAAATATTCATATTTTCCAACTCTAGCGACATCCGTCGCAAAACACATACAAATGTATAAGGTGCATTAGACGTCCCCCTCTTGGCCGCCCCCTTACCTGAGTTTGCATCATGGCTCTCTCAACACACCGAGTTCTCCCTCTCTCTAGTTTGGTCCTGAGGCAGAGTGCTGTGACCTCCACAGACCAGAACTTTGGCTGGGACAGAATACACTGTTCCAAAGACAAAAGAGACGCAGAAGATTGGACTTATTTCAGGCAATCCTCACTTGAAAGGAAGCAGTTCAGGTGTAATGTGCTGATCTGTGACAAACTAGATGAACTTTTCTGGGTGCAAAAATGTTTTTGTTAATGTATTTAAGAAACATCCCAAAACCTGGAATTCTGAGTATTTAAATAAATAGGAATAAGCTGTTACAGTTTGCAATAAATAGATTAAAAAAGATATACTGATGGTCACATTTTGTTGTTGCATTATAATGGAAAAAATGTTCAATTAGGAGTAGTGTTACGACACTGTGGAATTTTTACTTTGGACAAAAACATTGCTACTCTTGAGTAAAAACTCTAAACACTACCCACTGTCATCCGGCAGAGTAAAGAAAAAACAAAAAAATGCATCAGACTCAGACACACCAAGAGTTTAAGTTAAAGGAAGACGTCTTGTTTGTGCACAAGCTTTGTTTTTCTAATGTCTCTCTCTGTCTGCTGAGCCATTTGGAACTGGAAGTACTTTGCCCCACGTCAGTAACGACTTACTGACTTGGTATCGATTGGCTTCATGGTTTTGTTTTTCCTTTAATTATTACTTCTGCCTGGATTTGTTACAAAGCAATTATAAACATATTTTTTTTCATTTTATTTTATACCAGACTTTGTGCCTAACTTGACATTTTTGCCGGCCTAATGATAAAGGTATTACTGAGTTGAACAAACTGGACTGTATTTACGTTTTTTTTAAATCACCTGTTTGACTGGATTAGCCTGGACTGAACTGAATTTGGACTGATTTTGACTCCATAGAGCTGGATATTCAGTGGGAGGACCTGTGCTGTGAACTGGTCTTTTACAAACTGAACCAAGACAAAACACTGAATGTGTGTTTTCCTGACAAAGTTAACAAGGAACATTTTGAAAGGTTTTAAATGAGCTTCCACGGCAGTCAGACATGTCACAGCAGTACGACCAGGAAACAGAACCTAGTTTTCATTTGCTTCATCCTCTCTGCACTAAAGTCTAAGACTTCTCCTGCTCACTGTAGTGAGAAATCGACAAGCAAGCCTCATTTAAAACACCTAATTATTAAAAGCTATTAGAGCTGCAAAGACTTTATCTGGGCACTGTGGTGATAAGCTGGTGTGTAATAGCCAGGCCAGCTCGGGGTTTCAGCTCTCATAGAGCTGATGAAAGGCTTCCAGGGAACGATGCAGGTGGGGTGCAGACATCCAGATGATTTACCCACAGATAGATATGTCAGAAAAAGACTAATGCCAGGATCATCTCTAATGACGGAATTACTCAACGATGAATTTCTACACACAGATTATTAATGACGACGTGAATGTCTCATGAAAGTGATCGATGTCTGTAGCGGTGATGAACAAGCACCGATGTTGTTTGTGGATGCTTAGCAGGTCTTGTAGGAGTCATTAGTGCAACAGTAAACTGTCCTAATTATGCAGTTATTCTATAGCTATATAAATCACTGGGTGATTAAAATCAAATGATGGGACATGGTCAGCATTTGTCACCCTGCTGTTCACATAAACGAGCACAGGGAGCTTTTCAGAAGCAATCAGAACTTTGTGAACATTGAAAGTGCCAGGAAGAAGAAAAGCCCTTACATTACAGCTCTGATTCACTGTAGCATTTACATCGATGTAAAAGTCGGGATAGAAGAAGCCTAGAGCATCAAGGACTCTATAGTATACATGATATCAACAGACCATCATTCCCGTTCAAAGAAAATGACAGTGTTTTTCTAACATCTCTGCAGACATTTGGTTTGTTAAAAACATGAACATTTTTTTTGTTTGTTTTTTGTTCGTTTTTTTGCCACCAGTACAGTTTGCTTCTTTGACCTCTTTCCCAACCCCAAATCAACATTATATTATATTCTGAGGAAGGACGCAGAAACGGAAGACGTGCTCTGATGAAGATGGCCGGCCACGTGACAACCATCTAACCAGCCTGCAGATTCCTGGATCTACATGTAGGCTGGGAAGATGCCTGCTCACAGAGCCAGCCACTGCCTGGCCTGCAGCAGCTTTCCTGTCCACTCATAACACAGCAGCCGCCATCAATGACTGTCTGCTACTGAAAGACTGCTTGTTGGGCCAGATGACGACACTCATTTAAAACAGTATTTAAAAAGCTCTTAGCGCTTTGAAATTATTTGTTTTCTAGCTTTTTGGAAACTTAGCGGGAAAAACTAAGTTAAAAAACAGAGGCAAACACACTGAGTACCGTAACTGGCTAGCTGTTAGCTGCTGCTTCAAAGCTCGTCAAGAAAACCAAAACTTAAAAAAATAAATAAATAAATAAAAAATTATGTTACTATTTCTTGAATTACCAATGGGACAAATAAGTGGTGAATATGTTTTTCTCCGTAGGTATTTCAAATTATGTTACTGACGTGAAATTTAGAGCCAATAATAAGCCCCGAAATAGTAAGTAAAAAGTTGAACAACACAGAACGATATTGCCCCAACTTTCCATCTCAGTGGTCACACCGTTATGCCTGATCAGTGTATATGCAGCCTAAAGTAAAAGTGCTTTTCAGTAATAGACTGTCGGCGCTCTGAGGCAGCAGGTCACAGTCAGGAAACAACGGCTGCTTTTTATCCAGCTCAAATTGCTATTCATGAGTGGTGTCCAAAGCACTTTTCATCATGTTATTGTCCCAGTGTAGCGTTTGTTGTGAGGCAGCGCAGCCCAGAACTGCTTCCCATTTCTGCAGCATATCGAGCTTGCCTTTTCACTGATTAGATATGGATTCCCTGATGCTGAGCCTTTAAACCAGCTCTGAAGCCTGACTCTTTTTTTTTTCTTTCCTCCCATACGACTTGGTGCAACAGTAACACAGACAGACACGTAGGATGGTGTTATCTAGAACGATGCTTTGCATTTGGATGATTTCATTGAATTTCTTGCTATGACTGCAAAACACTGAGGATCTCTAAGAAACCTGTGAATACATTTTTCGGAGCCGGTGGTGTGTAGCCTTTGTTTTAATGCCTTCCAGTTTCATCTCAAGCCTCAAGGTTAAGGAGGAGTAAAGCAATGAAACATTGACCGATCTTGACCAAAGCTCTGTGAAATAGCCGTGTTCGTTCTTTTGGAAGCTGGTTCCAGTTCGACGGCTTCGGGCTGTTTTTATTTGGAGTCACAGAGCCAATAACCCAGAGTCTTTCTCCACCTTCTTTGCCAAACAGCTCATTTAATTAGAGAGAGTAATGTTGGGTTTTAGTATGTGGTGATGACTGATGCCTCTCACCTGTACCTCCTTAATCCCAAATCAGCTTGCTTAGGATTTTAACCTTGACTTTACAAATACAGAGAAAATAACAGGAAAGTAAAGATTTAAAAAGTAAACCACTTCACACACATTCCTGCATGAAAACTATGATAGTCCACGTTCAATTCAGTTTAGTTCATTTCATAAATACTTTTGAATGTCATAACAGAGTTATGGATGCTGATGCTGTGAATAGTGAAGATATCTGTTAGCAGTCAGTTAGGCAATGAATATAAAGAAACCTGACTGAAGACTGTTGTTGTTGGACAGTGTCATGACTAGCTAAGTTTCCATCCAACCGTCATGCAAATTTCAAGCAAACTTCTATTGGTTTGGAGCGAATCAACCAGGCTACGCAAAAAAAACGTGATTTCGCTAGATTTATACGATACACATGGTTGGAATAAGCAGGAAGTAGAGGTTCCAAACAAGCACGATCCATACATCTCAGAAATGGAAAATCCTCTCCTCCAAGTTGGAGGTTTCGAATTAGAAATGTTCCCAAGCTCCACGCCTCTGGTAAGGCACAGTGGATGGTAAGGTTCAGAGCGTAGTAAGCAAATGCATTTCCATCTTCTCTTTACACTCTTAACTCCTTTAACAATCTTAGTCCCAAAACCTGTTCTGAAAAAATGAGAAAGTAATTTCATATTTTGCCATTTCCATAAACTTTTTCTAACCAAAGGTGTCAAAATGTGCACAAAAAACATAGATGGAAACACGACCACCGTCATGCATCAACGTTATGCGTTATACCCATTTTACAAACATTCTATCAAGTCATTTTAGAGGATTTATGTCAATGTTATTGTTGAGAACCAATTTATTCTAGCTAAAAGAACAGTAAAAGAACTTACAGAAGTGAATGCCAGCAGTTCTTCTGCTGTTAGTTTGTGCACAGGATTGTTCTTCTGAAAGTCGGTGCTGGAAGACAACAGAATAGATTAGAAGGACAAACTCACCCGCTGCTCTGAAGAGCTGAAGAACTGAAGGAGTGAACTAAAATAAGCTCATTCATGAGCAAACACATGGATAAATACAGATGGGTTAAAGTAAATTAATTAGTGAAAGAGCAAAAAAAGTAAATGTTCAAATATTTATGTTTCCATAAGTAAATTGCCACTGTTCAAAACTGAAAAACTGCTGTTGATTTGGCTGTAAAAATTATAACAGGACTAATTCAGGACCAACTGTTCTCTTCAGCTCCTATGTTAGCTGAACCCTGTGAATGGTACATGTGGTGGTGAAACCATGGTAAATATTCAATGGTTCCTCTCCCACAGAAACCACAGTGCTAATGAGAGACAAAATGCAGATGTGCAGCGAGGTTCTGTCTGTAGTGGAGCTTTCTGACCCGTATCAGGTCATCACCTTGCAGAACATCCAATAAACCAGGCTGCATGCTAACTGAACGAGCCAGGATGAAGTCACACACTTTCCCCAAGCGTCCCTCCAGCCAGCGCAGACCCATCTGTGGTTCGGGAACCCAGAGCAGCGCCCCCCAGTGGCCTGTTCAAGAAGACATGCATCTTCAGTTGAAAGGCCCCGCACTCCAAAAAATCTATGAAACATTTCGCAGGCTATGAAATGTTTGATCCAAATCGCTAAAAGTTGATCTCTCTCTCACACACACAGCCTTCCTTAGCAACACTGAGCTCAAGAGCTGTGTCACGGCTATCTGAAAATGACTCCCGTTTCAGAAGCTAAATGACTTTTCTCAGTCAGCCTCTATTTGAACGTACATCAGAGCGGACAATAAAAGCAATCTGGATCATCGTAATTTTCCGACCCGGCTCGGTTTCCTCTGCTGCGCTGAGAAAGTCACACACACCTGAACGTCGTCTGAGAGCAGGTGTGGGATTTAAAGGATATCCCACACTCACATGCAAGCAGATAAATCCAGAAATGAGTGTGAAAATGTCAATGCAGATGTTTTAAAGGTATATTGTCTGATGCATGGCGGCCATTACGTGGAACGCTCTACATCGACCTCGCTCAATTCTACTCCAATTTTGTTTGAGAGAACCTTGTTATAGGGGCATTTTGACAGAACAGATTTATCCTAGTGGCTAATAAACAACAGAAGCTAAGCAAGAATGAGAGAAACACTACATGCTCCTTCTTTCAGGAAGGAGCATGAAGATGGAGCACAGCTGTGTTTAAGTTGAAGGCT